CCAAGCCGCTTGAAAAAATGAATGCAAAACATCTGTTGCATTGGATGCGCGTCATTTCCAAATTTGAAGAGATTTAACATATCTTTCTGCCATGCCCCACTGGTCTTTATGATGTGTTGAGACAAATAGTCTTTGGTGAGTTATCCGCTGAAGGTTTTCAAAAAACAGAACACACTTATTAAAGTTATGATCGAAATGCACAGATCATCAAAACATATGGAGAGATAGGTGACCTGAACAAATGTGAGGCATGATTTGCAAAATCCGTGAGAACGAATGGATGGTTGATGGGAATGGATGGTTGATGGACCTAACTTCAAGCGACAAAATTAAAACTTTCGAGCCCGAGTTTGTCAGTGAGGTCAAGAAAAGGGAGTGCTACCGAGATTCCAAGGAGCTACAGTACTTAGCCACTGTTTTTGTTTTGGGCTGGATCCTATGTGGATATAGCATGAGTATTGAGCACACTTTACATACGCTGTCAAGCCTCAAGAGAGATATAGAGTACTCCTGTAGACACCACACCGACCGGCCATTGGCGGTAAGTAAAAGGCGTGCAGCTGTCATGGAAGACGCTCTAGCTGCCTAGCTGATCTAATCTAGACGCTAGTGCCTCTCTTCAGCCACTCCCCTTAAACCTCGTGATTGAAAAAGGCTGCCTGTATGTGGCAATGTGCCAGCCATCTTCTTCCACATTCCTGCCCAATCCTGAGCTGACCTCCTGTGCAACCTGCCAAGCAAGGCAGCCTTCAACTATTTTTTGGTTCCTGAAGAGGGTCAGGGAGCCCCATTTTCTAGAGGTGCAGCAGTGGCTCCTGTGGTGGCTGTGCTTTACTGTGCCACAAGATGCTCCAGGGAGCTAGTTAGAGCTACTTAGCCAGTTTGTCCTGTCTTTGCTAAGCCATCTTCTTCCACATTCTTGCCGCATGCTGCGCTGACCTCCTGTGCCAACCTGCCAAGCAAAGCAGCCTTCAACTATTTTTTGTTCCTGAAGGGGGTCAGGGAGCCCCATTTTCCAGAGGTGCAGCCTTGGCTCCTGTGGTGGCTGTGCTTTGCTGCGCCCCAAGATGCTCCAGGGAGCTAGTTAGAGCTACTTAGCCATTGCCAAGCCATCTTCTTCCACATTCTTGCCGCATGCTGAGCTGACCTCCTGTGCTAACCTGCCGAGCAAGGCAGCCTTCAACTATTTTTTGGTTCCTGAAGGGGGTCAGGGAGCCTCATTTTCTAGAGTGTGGTGGCTGTGCTTTGCTGTGCCCCAAGATGCTCCAGGGAGCTAGTTAGAGCTACTTAGCCAGTCTGTCCTGCCTTTGCCAAGCCATCTTCTTCCACATTCTTGCCGCATGCTGAGCTGACCTCCTGTGCCAACCTGCCAAGCAAGGCAGCCTTCAACTATTTTTTGGTTCCTGAAGGGGGTCAGGGAGCCCCATTTTCCAGAGGTGCAGCCTTGGCTCCTGTGGTGGCTGTGCTTTGCTGTGCCCCAACTTAGCCATTCTGTCCTGCCTTTGCCAAGCCATCTCTGTGCCAACCTGCCAAGCAAGGCAGCCTTCAACTATTTTTTGGTTCCTGAAGGGGGTCAGGGAGCCCCATTTTCCAGAGGTGCAGCCTTGGCTCCTTGGTGGCTGTGCTTTGCTGTACCCAAGATGCTCCAGGGAGCTAGCGAGAGCTACTTAGCCTGTCTGTCCTTCTTGCCGCATGCTGAGCTGACCTCCTGTGCCAACCTGCCAAGCAAGGCAGCCTTCAACTATTTTTTGGTTCCTGAAGGGGGTCAGGGAGCCCCATTTTCTAGAGGTGCAGCCTTGGCTCCTGTGGTGGCTGTGCTTTGCTGTGCCCCAAGATGCTCCAGGGAGCTAGTTAGAGCTACTTAGCCAGTCTGTCCTGCCTTTGCCAAGCCATCTTCTTCCACATTCTTGCCGCATCCTGAGCTGACCTCCTGTGCCAACCTGCCAAGCAAGGCAGCCTTCAACTATTTTTTGGTTCCTGAAGGGGGTCAGGAGCCCCATTTTCTAGAGGTGCAGCCTTGGCTCCTGTGGTGGCTGTGCTTTGCTGTGCCCCAAGATGCTCCAGGGAGCTAGTTAGAGCTACTTAGCCAGTCTGTCCTGCCTTTGCCAAGCCATCTTCTTGTGCCAACCTGCCAAGCAAGGCAGCCTTCAATTATTTTTTGGTTTTCCTGAAGGGGGTCAGGGAGCCCATTTTCCAGAGTTGCAGCTGGCTCCTGTGGTGGCTGGTTGCTGGTGCCCCAACTTCTTAGCCAGTCCTGTAATGCCTTTGCCAAAGCCATCTTCTTGTGCCAACCTGCCAAGCAAGGCAGCCTTCAACTATGTTTTGCGTTACTTTGAAGGGGGTCAGGAGACCCCATTTCTAGAGGGCAAGCCTTTGTCCTGTGGTGGCTGTGCTTGCTGTGGCCCCAAGATTGCTCCAGGGAGCTAGTTAGAGCTACTTAGCCAGTCGGTCCGCCTTTGACCACAAGCATCTAGCAATTCTGTTTCCTGCCTTTGCCAAGCCATCTTCTTCCACATTCTTGCCGCATGCTGAGCTGACCTCCTGTGCCAACCTGCCAAGCAAGGCAGCCTTCAACTATTTTTTGGTTCCTGAAGGGGGTCAGGGAGCCCCATTTTCTAGAGGTGCAGCAGTGGCTCCTGTGGTGGCTGTGCTTTGCTGTGCCCCAAGATGCTCCAGGGAGCTAGTTAGAGCTACTTAGCCAGTTTGTCCTGTCTTTGCTAAGCCATCTTCTTCCACATTCTTGCCGCATGCTGCGCTGACCTCCTGTGCCAACCTGCCAAGCAAGGCAGCCTTCAACTATTTTTTTGTTCCTGAAGGGGGTCAGGGAGCCCCATTTTCTAGAGGTGCAGCCTTGGCTCCTGTGGTGGCTGTGCTTTGCTGTGCTCTGTCCTGCCTTTGCCAAGGCCATCTTCTCCACAATCTTGCGCATGCTGAGTGACCTCCTATGCCAACCGCCAAGCAAGGCAGCCCTCAACGATTTTTTGGTGCCTGAAGGGGTCAGGGAGCCCATTTTTGATCAGCCTGAAAGGGGGGGTCAGGGAGCCCCATTTTCTAGAGGTGCAGCATTGGCTCCTGTGGTGGCTGTGCTTTGCTGTGCCCCAAGATGCTCCAGGGAGCTAGTTAGAGCTACTTAGCCAGTTCTGTCCTGTCTTTGCCAAGCCATCTTCTTCCACATTCTTGCCGCATCCTGAGCTGACCTCCTGTGCCAACCTGCCAAGCAAGGCAGCCTTCAACTATTTTTTTGTTCCTGAAGGGGGTCAGGGAGCCCCATTTTCTAGAGGTGCATCATTGTCTCCTGTGGTGGCTGTGCTTTGCTGTGCCCCAAGATGCTCCAGGGAGCTAGTTAGAGCTACTTAGCCATTCTGCCTGTCTTTGCCAAGTCATCTTCTTCCACATTCCTGCCGCATCCTGAGCTGACCTCCTGTGCCCTGTGCCAAGCAAGGCAGCCTTCAACTATTTTTTGGTCCCTGAAGGGGGTCAAGGGGCCCCGTGGTGGCTGTGCTTTGCCGTGCCACAAGATGCTCCAGGGAGCTAGTTAGAGCTACTTAGCCATTCTGCCTGTCTTTGCCAAGTCATCTTCTTCCACATTCTTGCCGCATCCTGAGCTGACCTCCTGTGCCAACCTGCCAAGCAAAACTACCTTCAACTAGTTTTTGGTTCTTGAAGGGGGTCAGGGAGCCGTATTTTATTATCCTGAGCTGACCTCCTGTGCCAACCTGCCAAGCAAGGCAGCCTTCAACTATTTTTTGGTTCCTGAAGGGGGTCAGGGAGCCCCATTTTCTAGAGGTGCATCATTGTCTCCTGTGGTGGCTGTGCTTTGCTGTGCCTCAAGATGCTCCAGGGAGTTAGAGCTACGTAGCCAGTCTGTCCTGCCTTTGCCAAGCTATCTTCTTCCACATTCTTGCCGCATGCTGAGCTGACCTCCTGTGCCAACCTGCCAAGCAAGGCAGCCCTCAACTATTTTTTGGTTCCTGAAGGAAGTCAGGGAGCCCCATTTTCTAGAGGTGCAGCAGTGGCTCCTGTGGTGGCTGTGCTTTGCTGTGCCCCAAGATGCTCCAGGGAGCTAGTTAGAGCTACTTAGCCATTCTGCCTGTCTTTGCCAAGTCATCTTCTTCCACATTCTCGCCGCATCCTGAGCTGACCTCCTGTGCCAACCTGCCAAGCAAGGCAGCCTTCAACTATTTTTTGGTTCCTGGCTCCTGTGGTGGCTGTGCTTTGCTGTGCCCCAAGATGCCCCAGGGGGCTAGTTATAGAGCTACTTAGCCATTCTGCCTGTCTTTACCAAGCCATCTTCTTCCACATTCTTGCCGCATCCTGAGCTGACCTCCTGTGCCAACCCCTATTTTATTGAGGTGCAGCATTGGCTCCTGTGGTGGCTGTGCTTTGCTGTGCCACAAGATGCTCCAGGGAACTAGTTAGAACTACTTAGCCATTCTGCCTGTCTTTGCCAAGCCATCTGCTTCCAAATTCTTGCCGCATCCTGAGCTGACCTCCTGTGCCAACCTGCCAAGCAAGGCAGCTTTCAGCTATTTTTACATGGTGGCTGCACCTACCTGCGCCTTGGCATGTTGAGCCACCGAACCCTGATTGATGTCTGCAGGCAAGCCGCTTCATGTTCAAATCTGTGACCAACCGACAAACCGCTTCATGCTGGTTCCTCAGCCAAAATGGCTGATGCAAAGAATCTGTGATAGAGATATCTTGGGAGATTGGGTCACCGGCAGGTTTTTTGGTATGGCCTTCCCCACCTTTTCTTGACATGTAAAAAGTGAAAAACAAAAACCATCACCCACCATTTGGCCTCTATAAAATGAGATGCCTTGACCCCCCCTACCAGGATAGCAGAAACATGGAGCTTGGCTATAAAATCACAAAAAAAAACACTGTTTTCTATAAAATCACCTGGCTGGACGGTTCCAAAACCATAAAGAAAACGTTTTACGGTGAGCCTTGACCCCCTCCATTTTACAGAGGAAAAAGGATCATAGATTCGCTGAGGCGCAGCCATGGCGGCGTTGTACTGAACGCGTTCGGCCTCGTGGTCTGGGCAGGGAAAACATCAAACATGGAACCCGAGCAAAATCATTTTTTAAGCAGGGAAAACAAGTCTAATCATCTTGTCAGGAAGAACTTATGTCGTTTTAAAGGATGAGAGTCGGGCTCTGCTATGCCTGGAACGCATTGAATTCGGTCATGACATACTCATGCAGTGCATCATCAATGACTTTTGACTGGTTTCCCCACTCATGAAACCATCACCTTGAAATTTCCCTACATTTGCCAGGGTCAAGATGCCAGGGTCAAGACATGGTCATCCATCCCTAGTAATTATAGGGAATCCGCAAAACGGGCATATGAATCCCCATAATCCCTATGAAAACGGGTCGGTGACCATCGCATCTACTAAACTACAATATAAATATAAGTTTATAGGCTTTCATACGTGAAAAAAACACAATTATATCCCCGTTGAAATTTGGGGGGAGAGGTTTACCTCCCTTGATGTAGGTACCTTCTGGCTGGGTACAACCCCCCAGCACTACAGAAAGTCTAAGGCAGTGATTTTTTTTTCACTACAAAAACCAAATTATTTAAGATACAAAAAGCTCATGCACAGACCAAATGGCTTCAAAAACCACCAGAAGAAGGATCTGCGAATCCAGAAGTGCTTTTTGTAGCTGCCCAGTGTTGCTGCCGAAGTCGTTTCTTTTTCTAGCGCTCCCTGGGCATGACGTCTGTTCCAAAGGGTCTTTTTGTAGCCTATCTTGACATAGGAGTCCCAACCAGGAAAACACAAGAACTCTTGGCAAGTCTTTGCGTATTTTGCCTTTTGTAGCTATGGCCGCTGGAAGTCTCTGGAATGATCCTTCCAGACTGGTTTGATGCGAGTTGTTCTTAGTCTAAACTAATTATAGATCATATTGGATCTACTTTCCTCGCAAAGTTTGACTTGGGCGGGTTAGTTAGGGGGACCTGGGGGCCAGCATCCTCTTCTGCCTCTCTGTTTGAACTCCATACCTTTAGGGTTTCACTTGGGGACGTGGAGACAGGCAACTTAGGAGACATGGGGAACAGGGCACAGTGTGATGGAACCTGCCTTATGGCTTGACAAAAGTGTGCAATGCAACACATGATTTTGATGCTGGGTGCTAGTACATGACCAGGATGGAAGCATGACACAGGTAAGCTGCTTCTTCAGTTGCTCGCCAAAAGAACAATCAACGCAGGAACAAGATGGTTTGTTTCGCAGGTATGAGCGAGGAGCCTGCAAAAAGAAAGACGCGCAATCTCCCTGCTACAAATTGGGAAGGGCAGCATCCAGACACTACAAAAAGTGATTTTTACGTTGCATGTCAAGGTTTTCTGGTCACGCACCACCATTCTTAACTAGCATTGTTGAGGATGCTTCGTAGTCGAAAGGGCAGCTGCCCAAAAGCAAGAACAGAAAATCATGAAGCAAGCCACCAAATACAGGAAATAGTCATGAAACCAACGGCCGCTTTCTCAAGGTGAATTGGGAAGGGCCGGAATTGTTATTTCGCATTGGTAAGCCTAACTGTCATGCAACCATCCTTTTCAATGAGTCTGCTGAAGAAGAAGCAGCTCAAAACATGAATGCAAAATACACAGAAACACACGCAATTCAAAATTGAGAAACACCCTATCACGGTATGGACATAGTCATGAGACTTTCCTTTTTTGAAGGGATTGTACTATATACATATAATCACATATATATATAATATGTAAAAAAATGTATATATAAAATATATATAATATATAATACATAATTTATAATATATATACATAATATGTATATATACATAATATATAATATAATACATAATGTAATATATATATATATATAATATATATATAATAATACATAATGTAATATATATATAATATGTAAAAAATGAATAATATATATATATAATAAAAAACAATAAATAATATATATATATATATATATTATATATATATATAAATATATTATATATATATATATTATATATATATATATATATTATATATATATTATCTTGCAAGGAACAGTGTGGGCAGCCAAGCTACCTAGAAAGGGCGAGGTGCAAGAATTTGACAAGGTAGCGTGAGTCATGGCAGGCTGTTACAAAAAAAAGTCTGCACATCCACTCCATGCAGCTTTATGCATGCACATACTTGGTAGGTACAAAATGGAAGCCTACAAAAACAGAACCAACCTTGCTACAATTTGGTTAAGCCGGGGTCTGGTATCCCAAGATAAGCCTCTGAAAACATAGAGCTGAAAGCTCTACAAAAACAACTTCACAACCTAGGCAAACTATCAAAAACGGACTGGATACAAAAAGTTATGGCAATACCCTCGGGGACTAGGCACATTTTGGTATACAGAACATGCCTGGTACAGGGGATATGCCCTACCTTTTCGTAGTGGAATTTTCAAGGAGGATACAATTATAATATACAACATGATTCTTCCATCGAAATTTCCCATGGTTCACCGCTTTCACAACGAAAAAACACCCCCGGCTGCCCCGCATCACCTCCGTCCGCGCCAGCTTCACCAGGCCCCAGCGCCAGCCGCTGGTCGCGCGCAGCGAGGAGATGAGGCTGGAGGAAGCGAAGGCATCGACGTCCGTTCCCGCAGTCCAGTCCTGGCATCGCAGGCGAAACAAATGGGTCAACTAACAGCTTGGAAATGGAAAATTGATGGAACAAATGGATGCAAATGGTCCGTTTGTATTTTTTAAAGATGGATTTAGGTGCTAAAAAATGTGATTTTCCAGGTTTCTCTGTTAGTTTACCACCAGAGTATTGTGGCAAACAATAACAAACATTGTTAATCATTGATGTTTAGGATACTGGGATTAGATAACGGGCAGTCAACCTGCAAACAACTGCATGAATCCCATCATATCAGGGATTCATGGTGAACAACCGAACGTAACAGAAGCGGGACAGATCCTTATCTTTCCTTAACTTTCCCAACAGGAGATGCAACAGAATGGTGTTGTTACCCTTCACCAATGCGCAAAAGTATACCTTGCCTTGGGGGAAGGGTAACAAAACTGAAAGTGCGAGATGGAAAGCAATAATGGCCAAAATAGGACACTCATCTTGCAGAACCTATTTAGACACGGGTGAAGCAATGCGAACTACCCGGTTGGGTGGCAAGTGGCGCTTGGGAAGGTTAAAAAATCAAACTACGTTGGCAGTTTGCCAAAGCTATGTTAGTTTACTGGGGGGGTATATGGTTAAAACAACTGATTTGACCCATTCATCAATCAAACCAAGGTTAGCACATGAGAAACCTGTAAAAATATGTGCAACATGTCAATTGCCAAGTTGGTTCACTCAACAATTTGTTCACCCGGATGTGCGATTGTGTTGCCCAACATATCCGAACATGTTCGCCAGCAATCCAGGAGGAAACGACCGCCCCCAAACAACAATCTGAAAGCGGTTCCCAGCGTCTGGTTGATCCTGCAAAGACCTGGGCGCCGGCGCAGACTTGGCCACTTCAAAATCTATATGTCAGATTTTAGGCTTTATGGTTTTGCCACTCTGAAGGAACATATTGTATACTGTAAATTTAAGTATCACTTTTAGCCCAACAAACAGCTATGACTTCGATCCCGACCCCGGGGACCCGCCTCCAAGATGAACAAACCCAATCATTAACCAAGCAAAGGGGGCGGCGACGTTTATAGCTAAGTTTTAAACTAGGCTAACTGGGGTTTATGGCGGATGTAGATAGATGGGGTTATAAAGTTATAAACCAAGTTGGTAATTGCAGGGGCATTCAATGGAATTCATCAATCTTCCTGGTGAAACCACCTTGTTGGGGCTATTTCATACTAATGGGGCGGGATTGGCCGGGTCACATGGCCAGCCTCCAAGGACTCCGGCTCATCAGGGAGTTGCCTGGAAAATGGAACCAAGAAACAGCTTGTGATTACACAAACAAAAGCTGGTATACTTAACATTTAACATCATTTAATTAACATCATTAAACATCATTTATAATCATAAAACATCATTCATCATCATTTATTATAATTTCCCCACCAAAATCAGGATTTACCCACTCATATAGGATCCAAAAGGAGGGACCTTTAACGACCAAACTGGGCGAAACATTGCCATGACGAAATGAATGGTTACCCTCCAGTAGTCTAACTTGGTGAATCACGATTTCAATAGGAGAACGGTTGTGAAATTCATCGAAGCTCATCGAAGTAATTGGGGAGCTTTCCAGCTAAACAACCTAGATTATCGGAATCTGATCGGCCACTTCGCCTCCCATACTGCACCCAAAATTTGACCAAAAACGATCAAAAACAGGTGGGGGGGGGTCAAACAAAATACATGTCGATCTAAGATGCTATGCAGAGTGGTTGGCGGCTTCAACCCATCCCAAAGTAGGTTCGTCAATTTGGATCATCATCCCCTTGCCAGGATGGAACATGAAACATGCTTGGAACCACCAAGCGTTTAGATATAGATGACATCCTGTCTTGTTCACACTGCCTCAGAAGCTATATAGTTGTTACATATATATATATTATAACATTCAAAGGTGATAATAATGATGTTAACAATGGCGGTTATTTTTCATATGCAAATTATGTTTATACATATTATGAAAATCATGATAACAAAAACATAGATGGTAGTTAAACACATCATCAAAACAATCATAACCACATTAGTAACTAATAATAAGCCATCAAACCGGCCAGGCTGCGCGTGATGCAATCCACTTCCAGTCCAGCAATGATTTCATGTTCCAAGGCCACGAGGGCAAGCTGCCAAGAGTCGCCTTGGTCATGGCAGGAGCTGCCCTTAGGCCCTTAGGCTTTGAGCAATGGATTGGCGGGAACATCTTAGCCAGAAACAATCGCATACCATGAAACATTGGGATTTAACCAACCAAACTCGGGTTTCAATGGATTGGTTTATTGGAAACTTCCTAGCCGGAAACGGGGCGTCCTGTTGGTTTTCCTTCCAATTCTGGGATGTTGGGCTTTGAAGGATTTTGGAGGGACAAGAGTAATTGGAGAACACACACACGCACACACACACACCTGGTTTACAAGAAAATAGCAATAGGAAGCATGGGCATGCACACACAGACACATAGGCATGGTTATTTATCTTTTTCTTTACGTATCAGCTTTTAAAACATACATGTCATGAACATATTAATGATAAACAATTGTTGTTTTTGTTCTTTTTTGCCAGGGCCTCCTGTACTAAGAGTACTAAGATATACTCAGCCCTGGTCCATACTTCAACTAATGTCATTGGGAGTAAGCAGCAGCGAGCCAAATCGTGCATTTTACAATCCAATGCTCAGGACACATTACAAAACGCATGTATGTATGTATGTATGTATGTATGCATGCATGCATGTATGTATGTCCGTACGTGCGTCCTTGCGTGCGTCCGTACGTGCATGCATAGTACTTGAAAATTTGAGTGTGCATCATCGCACACACACATTCCATACAGAAGAAATGACTTGATGTTTTTCCCAGTACAAGCTCATGTGGAATATTGATCAATGCCTGCAATATATAGTGTATGATATTGGAAGCCTGACTGGTTGTCTTCAACCCATCCCCAACATATCATTAGTTAATGGAATCACCATGACAAAGGACCAGAACATACCAGATCAATGATTCAAATTACCAATCAGTTATATATATAATAGCTATATAATATAATATGCAAGAATAGGGAATACCAAATCACTGACATCCTTGATCCAACTCAACTCATCATTCCCCCACATCACGGCACCTTCATTGCAGGTGCTGATGAGGGTGTTGCAAGTGGTGATGCTTACAGTGAGCCCACTGCACTGTAGGGTGATACCTTGCAAGGCACAAAGGCCGGAGGCCCAGGTTTTGGGGGGCGCCTCATGTCTCCATCGCTGTCTCCGGCGCAAAAAGGGTAGACATTTGGGGACCTGTCATCCAACAATACTTGAACCACTTTTCCTTTTTTGGAGGACGCATTGAATTTGTTGAAATCTCAAATTCATATCTTGGAGCGGGCAGTTTTCCATGCTTCCAGAAAAACAGCGGACAGTCTATCGTCCAGGTGCAGAGTGCCAATGCCCGCGACCACTGGCCCTTCTTTTGCACCGAATTGAAGCCTGTGGGCTATATCTTGGGACCATTGGAAATGGGTAAGCAGTTGAAATATGTTGAAATTATAGTTCAGGATTCTGATGGCTTTAGAAAATTTAGTAGATGATCATGATGATGATGATGGTGATGATGATGATGATGATGATGGAAACAGTTAAAGTTATAGTTCTGGATTCTGATGGTTTTAGTAGATGATGATGGGCCAATTCCCACTTTTCCCGCAATTTGTAGGGACCGTAAATAGCATTTAGTAAGTGGATGATAGTACTGCAAATGTAAGGTAAATATTTGGTAAATACATGTATATAAATGCTGGCTGGGCCTAGGCACACAAAAAAAAAAACGTAGGAAAGCCAATATGAGGCACGTGTTTTGAACCACATCTCAATGTCTGTAATAATAATGCTTGCTTTTCTTTACCAAAAGCATATCTAATAGTTACAAACATCCGTTCGTTCTTGGGCCATGGCTTCCGTTGAATGGACTGTGCCAACCTGCAGGCCCGCTCCCACGTGTCCGCCTTTTGTAATATCCTAGGTTAGATGGCTGATTTTCACTATATAGATGCAATATTGAACCTTTTTCACGTGCATGTATAATCAAATGAACCCATTTCCATACTCCACATCTGCCTTGGTCTGCGCATTTCTCACGAATGTGTGCACTTCGAACTTCGAACGGCAAAGCAAATAACAAGCAACTGTCGAATTTGCTGCCTATCTACATATGTTTTCTATTCATCTATATTATCTAACCCAACTTATCCAACTTGGCTTCGGACTTCCAAATCCCTGAGCATCAAATATAAGAACTGGCCCTTGCTTCCAAGGCACTGATGATGTTGGCCTGCACAGGAAGGTGAAACCTTGGCCAGCAAATCACGTCTTTCCCAGGCATCCATGGAGCGTTGGGCGCACTTCACGAAACACCATAAAACCGGGGCCTTTCGCATCCAGCTGCAGGCACAAAACGGCTAAACTGGCTAAACCGTTGTGCTTTGCCAACCAAAAAAGGGGGCATTCCCACAATGACAAGTTTGCCCTTTGCTGTTGAACCAATTCTGTGAGTGGGTATATTTAGACTAGATGTTTCAAAGCCCGTATGGCATAGCAAAGATCAGAAGAAAAGCTCCTTCGCCAATGCCTTAAAAGCAAGATTTTGCCAACGTCTTGGCCTATTGTGTTCGGTGTAATTACAACATCCTTGACGCAACAACCCCCTGGCGAGGATTCACCAGAATCAGTGTCCTTCAGCCCAGCCCACGTCAAGGGGCAATAGGCTACTGGCACGTTCCCAGTGCTGCTGTGCAACCGAGCTAAGCAGGCTATTGCGCCTGGGGAAGTTGTTTGCGGGCAGGTCATCCACAAGAATTTCGATTCATTTCGAGCATCCTGCTCGTGAAAAAACCCTGCAAGAGCATGATCCCCACTAAGCAAAATTTCACAGTGCATTTGGTGGCTGTACATGACTCGTGCGACTGCATCACTGCATCAACACGGATAGTGCTCATGGCATGGGGCAACACACCTGTTGTCCAAATGTGGGAGGCCATCCCAATTTCTTAAATCGGCAGTTGGGTGACCTACATAACATACCCCAACTGCGAGTTTCCAATCTGTATGAGAGATTGAGTCCCCAATGTCTAGGACCCAGGTGGCATTCTGGCGATCAACCATCCAACCTTGCGCTCCGGCCACATCCAAGGCGCGCAATTCCACTCATCTCCAAGCCTTGCGCCGCATGTGCCTGCCCCACAGTCCCAACACATTTCCCAACCATGTCCCTTGGCCGCTGGCAGTTTGGTTTCTTGCCCTCTTCAGGGCATTGATTCGAACACCAGGAAACCTCCCCATGTTGTGAAAACCAGCCAGGCCCTGGTCATCCCTGGTCAGTTTGTTGGCCAGGCCCACGCGCCTCCACGATGTGCAAGGCACATGGCCACAGAGATCCCTTCTCACATGCAGCAAGAAAGGTCCCCGAAATGACCTGATTCGTTTCCAGCTGCGAGTCCTCAGAAGGCGAAAACCATCTGATCTGGTGCCGCTGGTGCCCCACAAGCCCGATAGCTGAGTTGGGTTATGACTTCAATACCCATTGTTTATTGGGGTTATGATGTTCACATCACTGGGAAGTGCTCACCTTTTAAGGCTTGTGGAAAATTTGTTATATTCTATTGCTATAATTTTGATGTTTCCACATACCTTGTTTTGCTGAATGTTCCTTGCTACGGTTGTATCTCCAGGCCTTAATAGATATAGAAAAACATGGTGGGCGAGATTGCATTAGTACGCAAGAGTCTCTTGTTGGTTGGCTCCAGCGCTCTATTCCTACCATCTGTTTTACGCTTGCATATATCATAGAATCATACACACGTATATGTGTATATGTGTATATGTGTATGTATATATATATACACATTATGTATACATTTATATATATATATATATAACATAATGCATACATATATAAACACAATATATATATATATAATTTCATATGTATATAGATATATACGAAATAAACAAATATATAAATATAAAAATAAATATAGAAATTTAATATATATATATACACATAATTAAAAAATAAATATCTATATATATATATATAAATAATATATATATATACATAATATATATATACATTATATATATATATATATCTATATACATTATATATATACATAATATCCATATATATATAATTTATATATTATATGTATATATATACACATGATATATTAATATATATATATACACATTATATATTAATATATATATTATATAAACATGATATGTATATATATATATATATACGGCTAATTATGGTTCAAAGCCCTGATACAAATCATGATAGCCACTAGAGGATGCACATGAAATGGTAAAAACAGAGTTGTCGAAGGTTTGATCCAATCCCACAAGGGGTTGGTCTAAAGGGACACCCCCAAACATCTCATGTGTGTCACCACTTTCTACTTTCTCCATTTTTGAATGGCCAAAACAGCCATGTTCCAACCCCTCTTCGTAGCACAAAAAAGCTCCTTCCGAGCCACAGAAAGCCCCTCCAACCTCAGCATTTTGTCAAGGTCATCCCCAACATCCAGTTGCGGCCCGCTACCGGGATCATCACATGGTGCCGCCATGTAAAAGGCTTCACCATTTATAAACTAACAAATAGCTACTAAAAATTGCGATTTATAGTGGATTTATCCATTGATAGCATGGTGATATTCCATAGTTATGTGGCTGTTTACCACAGGGTACCCATGATCTCAAGTTTTAAGCAACATACAAAGCATCCCCGTCTTTTTTTCAGGGCTTCGCGCCGATGTCCCCATGAGCAGAAGCGCAAAAATCAGCCCACTGTCACAATGCTCGAGAAACAGCATGCAGGCGTCTTGCCAATTCGATTTCTTTCCGTAGGCATTCATAGCCATTCCTCGGTCGAAACGTCGCAGGATATTCCAATAGGATCCTGTTGCTGAAGAGGAAGGCCCGAGAAACTGCCATCAAGGACTGTTACATAAAAGCAAGTAGCTTGACGTTGCTGCACACCAAAAAGGACAAATATGCCATGTTCATAAACAGTACGTTCAAACCAGACTTGAACTAGTATTGACTAGTAGGGTTCATATTCCATGAATTACTATAAATATCTATAGATTATTTCATATTATTTCACTATATACATATTTCTTCACAAATCTGGGGATGCCATACGCAAGGACTGAGTATTGAATGCTATACAGGACTCAAGAACTTAAAACAACATTCAAAGACCCCAAACATGGATTTTACAAACAGGAACACAAACCTGGACTAACAACTCCCAGCATCCGCTTGGATCGCCAAACACGAAAACTCCCAGCATCATGGGCTTTTTGTCTGTCCACGCATGCAATAACCTGCCCCCGTTTAAACTCAGGTCATGGGTGTCATCATGGACCTGGTCGACCTGTCTTGTCAATCTCGAACTGCTTCGGCCATGGACGGACAGCGGTGGACCGCCAAGCCATGAAACATCAAGAACTATCAACAAATCCAATGTGTTTCATGATGTCCAATGTATTCCTTCCTGATCCATGAAAAACCCATCACACATGACCCAGGTATTTCATGGGCCAGCCGACTCGCCCCAAGGCTCCAAAGGACACTTCATTGACCTCCAATCGCTTCCATGCCCTCATGGAGAGCAGGGATAGAGACCCAACTGGTCGCTTCCCCCGTATAGGAGCCCACAGCCCACCACATTTAGTGACAAGCAGATTGTTAAAAAAAAAAACCTGGTGTCCGCAGATTTTCCCTGAACTCATCGAGTTGATCTTGTGTTCGAAGACAAAAAAAACTCTTCTTTTAATATTGTATGAATTTAAGCATGTTCCTGTGCAGTTGGCCGATCGAACCACTAACCTTCCCAGAGGTAGGTTGGGCATACGTAGGAAAATTCGGCACCCGTGTCCATCATCTGCTTTGTCCAAGTGCTATGTATCCTTTCGGGTGTGCTAATAGCCATACCATACCGCACAAACACACAAAATAAAAAACAGAAAACTAGCATCCAAAAGATCCAAATGATTTGCAAAGACATCGCTTTGACCGATATTAATGAAAGCACACATTGATGTTCCAGGAACATGCGGTGATTTTGTTTATGCCACACTGGTGCCACACTGGCTGTGAGGAATATGAACAGTATTCCTTGGTGCTTTCACCCCTCTGATAACCATCCGTCATTGGGGATCATCATCCCAAATTACAAATACTTAAACATAACACACACACACAAAAAATTATATATATAATTTAAGTATAATTTAAAAAGTGTTGGTAAAGCAATACCACCCATCTAAATTGATGGTTTATAGCACCCAAAAAAATGATGAGTTCGAGGAATGGTGGATCTTCCCTGCGCTTCTCCAAGCGTCATTTCTTCCACGATCTGTGCCGTTCCACGCCAGGAGGCCGGCGATTGCATCAGGCCATGGAGGATGGGGTAGCCATGGAAGCTGAGACGTATGCGGAATATGACTGTAGTCAATGGATGCAGCTTGTGGAAGCTGACCTTGTACTTGTTGAGCTTGCGTTTGTTAAAAACCATGGCGGGCACTGGAAACATGAAAGTCAATTGGGACCCTCATTGCATTTCTGGGTGAGAAATGCATCGCCGGTTCGGCATCAAACTTCAATGGCGCTTACAATACGTAGCCTGGCTTGGTTGCAAAAGGCATTTCATTGATTTCAGAGAATGAGAAGCTGATGGTATCATTAAATTGTATTATATAAATTAAATATCTACATGCGCCTGAGCAAAAATCAGCAAGGAACATTCTCCACAGGATATTTCTTATGCACCTGACAAGTCACGGTCAATTTGGATCACCATCCTGGAAAATATAGAGGCCCAATGAAACAAGTATCAAACTATAATGCAAATACCAATCAGTTCACCACTACCAAAGGATTGTATGAACATACTTTGCTAGCTGAAGACTAACATATATAACTTCTTTAAACTGTTGTGTTTAGTGCTGTTTCATGTCCCTGAAGTGTCGCCCTATTTTTTGGTGTCTTGCCAGCTACATCGATTCCAGGTGAAACGCACAAGGATTTCTGTCGAATGAGTTTTGCTCCGTCTCCCTCCGTTAGCTGTGCACCTGCTGCTGGCTGCACCAGAAGCACCTATGGTGCGTGTGGCATGGCTCTAGGAAGGAGATAACAAAGAATGGTAGCATGTAAAGTAAAGGTCAATCTTTGATATCACGCAACATCTCTGGATATAATAAACGTAAAGGGTGCATCATGGTTTCTCGGAGCATGTATGATCCACTTTACAAGAATGCACTAGTTTTAATAGTCTGTGCCAATCTGAGCAAAAGTATGCAGGCAGCAAAAAGAAACACACACGCACAAGCAAGCCTCTCCAGTTCCAGTAGGTCATAGCGCATCCGGAGTGGTCTCGATTCTCAAATGGATCTTGAGGACTCTGAGCATGTCCAACATGTCCACGGTCTTGCCTGACTCACTCCACTGGTTATACAACAGGTGCAAAGCCCCTACCTTCAATTGCTGGATCTACAGTACAGTGTATCCATGTCTCTCGGTTGCATCCATCATTTGCTTTGACCAACCCAGTAATTCCAATAATGTCCTATTCATCTCTTCCTACTGTAGTGGAATGGAGAAAAACAACGCAGCTCTTTGTATAGATGTTCTTCTTCAACAAGTTTCTTGTGCTGTTTGCTTTGGTTGCATGTTTGTTCACCAGCTAAAAATGCCGCCACTGATCAGCCCAAAATGCATGTGCTGGGTTTGGGGACCAGGGCATCTGGGCAGGATAGGCAGCCCTGTCTGTGTGTCAGGTTGCCACCCCCATGCTAGGGTCCCAAATATGTATAGAGCCACAGCTTCTGCGGGGTGTTAAGATTAGTTGGAATGAATTATTTTTTTAGGTATTTTTAGAGAACCCGTATGCCATATGCCCTCAGACATAGAGAGCAATCTTTCCCAGCTGGCGTTGCCCCAAAACAGAATCCTTCCATGCCTGGTCATGCTCTTTGCTGATGAACGGAGCAGGTGGAACCTCCGGTCCAGCGGCAGTTGGTGGTTTTGGGGGGCGAAATGTGATTGGGATGAAGCCTGAGATAGTTGCTGAGCGACAGACTTTCTGATGTGAATGTTTGATAAAGCAGCGATATTGCATTAGAATATATACAATCATGGCACTTAACATTTGATGTTTGATCGATCCTTCACTGAACTATCATAAATATATATAATATAATATCATTATCTGCCGGTCTTCCAGGGAAGTGCGCTTCGCAGCCAGCTACTATATAGTTCCATCCCATAAGGGATATCCCAAATGGTGTGAGCGGTACAGCTACAGGTGACACTCTGCTTCTGGCATATCCGCTTAAGGGCACAGAGGCAGCTCCAACATACTCTAACTGTGCCCTTTTGGCATCAAAGATCATCAAAATTTATCTTTCATCAGAAGTGCATCTCGATCCAGCCACGGGAAAGTAATGAAACCCTCCGGCATGCTTCGACCCTTCCTTCGAAAGCCTCCAGCAGGAATTCCGGCCCCGAACGCCTTCGTATCAGATCTGCCGCAGTCAATCCGTGCGAGTTCTGCAAATTCAGCTTTGCCCCTTCAGCAATCAAAGCCGCAGCACATTCATTATTCTCGAAGAGTAAGGCTAGCATCAAAGGCGTCGCGCCTTTAGCATGGTACATAAGCTTGTTAAAGATCGTGGCCTTGTGAAACCGGTGCTGCAAAACCATGAAGGTGTAGACAGCTCGCATCAGTGCCGTGCGCTTGAACCAGTCACCAGTCTGAGCATTGACATCTGCCCTCATTTCAACCAGTCGGTGCACCACCTCTGCACTTCGCTCGCCACCCGCTACATAGAAAAGGGCCTGAGTGGCATCCAAGGAAGTGACAATGCTATGTCTAAGGAGGTCTAGGGCTTCAAGAGATCCCGCCCCGACAGCACTTTCCAGCGGAGTGACGCCGAAAGAATTCGGCTCAAGCGGGCAACGAGCGTGGAGGAGAATCTGGATGGCTTCTGTATTGTTCACTCCCGTCGCACAATGAAGAGGTTTGCAAATAATCACGCTGCTGGTGACCCTGCCTTTGGCAGAGATCAAAAGCCGGACAGCTTCATTGTTCTTGAAGGTGCAGGAAATGGCAAGAGGTGAAATCCCCGATTCAAATCCATGAACTGGGTGGGTTTTCCTGGTGCCTTGGTTTGGATTTGCCTGAAGCGCAAGCAAGTCTTGAACCAGAGATGGGTCGCCGTTCACGGCCGCATAGTGAAGGGGTGAAAATCCAGCAGTGTCCATCTCGCGGATGCTGCGGAAACCATTTTGATGGAAGAACTTCATGACAAGCGGTGAAAAATCCATATCCAGATGTTCTTGCTCAAAGGCTGGAACAGGCTCAAAAAGGTTGCAATCCAAACCTCTGAAAACAAAAGTTTGGTGGTTCAGCAAAAAGCGATAACCTGGCATGTCCTGGGCTTTAAGAAGCGAAAGCAACTTGCGCTTTAGTGATTTCATGAGAACCGGCCCGAGCTTCAAGCGATCCTCAGGCATTGTGAAAACTCCTTCGCCCACTGGTCCAGACCCAACGCGAAAGGATGCTCCAATGCCCGATATGATTTGAAGATCAGTGGGGCCTTTCACCTGAATCCAGGAGTGGTTTGGGGAGAGCTCTCGGCAAGATCTCTCCAACCTGCACCAGCCTCTTCCGCTCCAAGTGAATGTTGAAATCAGACTGGTTCCACTCGGGTTCTCTAAGACGGGTACAAGGGCAAAAAAAAAGGAGCACGCGTCCACATACGCCGGTATGCTGTTGATGGCATCCTCCAGCAATTTGCTTCTGGGCACGTTTTCAATATGGCCTGAAGCTTCACGAAGTCTTTCCTGTGGGCACGAGAAATAATCATACCAAAAGAAGAGCGGTTCTGACATAATCTTCAATGTGGGCAAGGGCTTCACATTTGGATTTTGCGTTTCCGAAACCACATCTACAGGTATGCTCTTCAAGTTGCCCATCATGTTCTTTAAAGCATCCTGCAAGACCCTCATCTGCATACACTCTGGGTCCGGGTGGTTGCTGGCAACCCATTGGTGTGAAACAAATGCCGCGTTGCCCATATTCTTATCGAACTCCACCAAGACATCTCGGTCCTTCAGTGCTTCATGAGGCTCGATCATGGTCATCTCCAGCAAGGTGCCTAAAGGGACCGTGTACATAGGAAAGAGCATGGGCAGCTTTTCACCGTCATCGAGCTGAGTCCTTAATGATCTTGCATACTGGGCCAAGGGTGTCAATGAATGGGCACCGCAACATGCCATGGCGAATATGATGCTACTGCAGTCAGTAGCGGATGCTTCATGAAAGGGCCCACCTTATTTCTCTGCAGGAAATTATGTCTATGTTGATAATGGCATCCAGTAAACTCATTTGTGGAGTTATGTGCGCAATAGATCCAATTTCCCTATTTCTGTGCATCCAGACTACAATAATCATCAATCAGCACCTATGGATGTTGAAAACGCGGAATTTTCATCCGACGGATCAAGCCCAAGGACCCTTTTGCAGAGAAGTCCTCTCCATATCTGTTCTGATCATTCAAAAATACTGGCATTAAGGATCATGGCACTCTTGCCTGGCGGATCTTGGATAGCCCGACCTACTAAATTATGGCAATCTTTCGCTGGATCTGACATCCCTAGAAACCGATCAAAATCATCCGCAGACTGGAAGTGGTGAAACCAACCGTTATTCTTTAGGGGACATTTTGCATGCATACCGAATCATTACTCCAATTCGGGATGGTTTATTCTTGGGTGTGCCTCGTTCAGGCTTTACCAAAAATTACCCAGTCCCAGCTGCCAGGAATTCAACGCTTTGGCAAGGAACAAAAAAAAAGCGGTTGCCCCATGCCCTTTTTGGAGGTTTCCCAAGATAGGAGTACCCAAAAAACATCCAAAACCAGACCATTCTAGTTGTGGGGATCCCCCATTCTGAGAGCCCCCTATATTTTGGATGAGGAAAATTCGTGGGTTTTCCCATGGTTTTTCCAATCCCAAATTCACCAGTCGGACCTGCAGAGTAGCCAGGTCATAGGGATGACCTGACAGCCGCAGCGGTCATCCCCCAAAAAAATAAAAAAGGTAAATCCCAACACAAATAGTGAAGATTAGTAAAAAATGTGTTCCTATTCTTTTTGGGGTTTACTATAGTCATTTTATGTCATTTTGGGGTCTCCTCCATCTTGAGGACCTGGCCGAAAAGGCCTCCAGACCGTTCAATGACGCTCAAGACACCTGCCCCTTGGATTCGGCGATGGCATAAATTTGGGGCTCGTCCACTTGACCATGGTCGGTGAGATCATGTCATACAAAAAACTTTAAAAAAAATGTGGAAATTTGGAATCATTGTGTCTAAAAAATGTGGAAATTCGGAAATCATTGTGTCAAAATTACTTTACTTCGTGTGATCCCCACCATGACATTTATACATTTTCTTACTGGCAAATCTTCTGGCATTCTATCTGACATATCTTCTGGCATTCTATCTGGCATATCTTCTGGCGTATGTTCTGGCATTCTATCTGGCAAATCTTCTGGCATTCTATCTGGCATATCTTCTGGCATTCTATCTGACATATCTTCTGGCATTCTATCTGACATATCTTCTGACACTTTTTCTGGCATTCTATTTGGCATATCTTCTGACATTCTATCTGACATATCTTCTGACATTCTTTCTGTCATATCTTCTGACATTCTGTCTGGCATATCTTCTGACATTCTTTCTGACATTCTTTCTGGCATTCTATCTGGCATATCTTCTGACATTCTATCTGACATCTTTTCTCACATTCTTCCCGTTGAGGTCTGGCAGTGCCCACTGCGATCTGGAAGTCGCGGTTGAGGTCCGGCAGTGCCCACTGCGATCTGGAAGTCGCGGTTGAGGTCCGGCAGTGCCAACTGCGACCTGGAAGTCGCGGTTGAGGTCCGGCAGTGCCCACTGCGATCTGCAACTCGCGGTTGAGGTCCGGCAGTGCACACTGGGATCTGGAGCTCGCGGTGGAGGACCGGCTGTGCCCACTGGGATCTGGACTGCGAGGAGGAGGCGGCGGGTGAGGAGGCGGAGGAGGCAGAGGAGGCGGAGGAGGAGGAGGAGAACAGCTCTGATAAAATCTAACAACCCTCACCTGGCAGGTGGGGAAAAATGTGGAAATTCGGAAATCATTGCGTCTAAAAAATGTGGAAATCGTTTTGAAGTGACAGATTGAGAAGCGCAAAGTTCATGCACCCGGCTGGCAAAACGGCCATGGCTTTTCAGAGAGAAAATTGGGGGTTTACTGAGAAATGAGGTGTCCGCGTTTCATTTTCAAACTGAAGCATCGAAAATTTGTGTACCCTCTGGTAAACCAACAGTTTGCTATTGGAAATGGCCATAGAAATAATTAGTGGATTTTCCCATTGAAAATGGTGGATCTTTCCATAGTTTTTTCCCGAGAGCGTCTGAGCGAAGGGTTCTTCTAATAGTGGGGGTCTGTCAAACATTTTCACACCTTCACATTTTTTTTTATCCTCACATCCTCACATCTTCTCATCTTCACATCCAAACATCTTCACACCTTCTCATCTTTACCTCCTCACATCTTCACATCTTCTCATCTTCACATCTTCACATTTTCTCATCCTCACATCCTCACATCTTCACATCTTCTCATCTTTACATCCTCACATCTTCACATCGTCTCATCTCATCTTCTCATCTTCTCATCTTCACATCTTCACACCTTCTCATCTTCTCATCTTCACATCTTCTCATCTTCACATCTTCACATTCTCTCTTGCCCTCTTCATCTTCACATCTTCACATCTTCTCATCTCCACGTCTCTCTTGCCCTCTTGTTCTCCTGCCCTCTTGCTCTCTTGCCCTCTTGCTCTCTTGCCCTCTTGCTCTCTTGCCCTCTTGCTCTCTTGCCCTCTTGCTCTCCCCTTCTTTTCTATTTCTGTCTTGAAGGCGCGGGGCAGTGCCAACGAGACGGCACGAAACGCAACCCTTTCGCACGAAATGAGGTTCGATCGGCAAAAACTGACGTAAAATTGTGATTTCAAGTTGTCCGGCGCAACCCTTTCGCACGAAATGAAGTTTGATCGCCAAAAACTGAAGTAAAATTGCGATTTCAAGGCGTCCCGCGCAACCCTTTCACACGAAATGAGGTTCGATCGCCAAAAACTGACGCAAAATTGCGATTTCAAGTTGTCCAGCGCAAGCCTTTCGCACGAAATGAGGTTCGATCGCCAAAAACTGACGTAAAATTGCGATTTCCGGGTTCCCGTCGCAACCCTTTCGCACGAAATGAAGTTCGATCGCCATAGCTTTGCTGGTAAACCCTAAAGTAATAAATGTTGTTCCCCCAATACTCTGTCTCCGTGCCTTATCCAGGCTGGCTTCTTGCAGTGCCGCGCCGCAAACTCAGACCACCGCGAGCGCAGTCGGTCCGGCGCGATCAAAACGACTGATGCAGCGAAGCTAACCAAGACTCTCCTGTGGCCAGTGATGGCCATTGGCTCACAGGACAAGCGATGACCACGCACCGATGATCCATGGAAGATCAGGATTCTCATCCTGCTGGTGACATGGATAAAACCAACATATCTGAGGAAACCAGTGGTGTTCTCAGTGTATCAAGCAATCAGCCTGAGGCAACTACTGTGTCACTATACCAGGGCAACTATCTACATCTAATATCATCATCTATCTACCACATACCGATCTCTTCGTCGGGCTCTCTATCTGGCATGGTCCGACCATCTCTCCCTGCCACAACATACCCAACATCCCCATCCTGTCCCATGTCTGATGAACAAATGACATCCCCACCCTTATTCATCGTGGTTCTCCAACTTACAATTTGAAGCTATACTTTGGGCTCTCAACCCACATGGTGAAGATGTTGTGTCTACACCTAGGTTGGGTTGCATGACTCCAATTACGTACCAAGAAACATGGAGAAATTACACAAAAAAATGGTGGCTTAATATGGCTTAATGCCGCTCTCGGATTTATAAAATATTCTCAAATATGGTATCCCTGTTAGTACGTGTTTATTAGTCCAAAGCCAAAACTAAGGCTTGTTTGACACTAAAATGGTGCGCTCCAATTAAGTTGCCTATGGGTTTGTCTCAAAATAGGGAAGGGCAAACCCCAATTCCAGCTCCTTGGCTACCTATTTACAGATTTATACGGAATATGCATACAACCCGAGATCCGATTCACAACCAAGTTGAGGCTAAAATCCATCAGAAACCCACCGGAAACCCATCAGATAGTACATCCACCAGACAGATTCATCAGTCAAACCCCAATTGTTCCCATAGAAATTAATTACTTTCATCCAATTTTCCCAGTTACATCCCCTTCCCCCATCCCCTCGCAACTCCTTCCCGTTGGATCCGTCCCAGCAATGCGGATGCGTCTGGCGATGCGTCCGTCCCCTCGAGGGCATCACCCAAGGTGGCACCGTCCAGGGTGATACGCCTCCACCAAACATCTATGGGTTGAGTTCCGTGATGAACTTCATTTGGGATGAATCAAACGCGAGTGAAGGTTTGAGTCGCCAGAATATCCGGTTTCGATTGTGTGTTTCCCATCCAAATCTTTCACAATCCTGACCTGTAGGGGATTTTCCGGCAAGCCATGTTTGATTACCGGAGGGTAAAACCAGCCCTACATTCTTGTGACATTTCTTCCAACCTAGTGAGCTCGCAGCCTCAGATCAGCTTCCGCAATCAATGCCAAGGTTTCCTGCCACCGACCTCAGATGTATCTACGTCCCTTTTTCCGACATCAGCATCCCCAACAAATGACCTGGAAACTGGTGAAAAATGGTGAAAATACATTAAGTCCAATTTCTGGGGAAGAGTGACAACATTTGAACATAGAAATAAATCGCCATCAATTTTGAATGATCATGCTATAATTAGCATCGTTTCCGGCTTGAATTCACACCATTTTTGGGTGGTATACCATATTATACCATGGTATACCCCCGTTTCACTCACCCAGTTTGACCCGTCACCAGTGTAACTGTGTCTATCTGTGTCTGGTCGTCGAGGAACTGGCTCTGGTACAAATGGACACTGCAGCGCTGTAGGCCACCAAACCTGGCTGCAAGGCTCGCTGCCACATCTGCGCTAAGAACTTCAGGGCCAACCTGAAAAATGGCCATGGCGGTCAAAAATTCGCGTGGTAAACCCCAAAATAGCTGGATATAGCTGATAAATGGGTTGTAAATGGATGCGCATCTCTCCAAATAACTGGTATTATAGGTTTTATAGGTTTTGACCCATAGCCAAATGTTGCAGTCATACAATGGGATTGCCAATGCAGCAAAAACAAATACTGGTTTAAATCACCAATTTAAGCGGATCAAATATTGTAATCAGCAAAAGGGTGTAATGCAATTTTACTCGGATATCATGCGGATGTAGTACAGTATGTACTTTATGGATATATATATATACATATTATATATATATATATGAAGTATTACATTATATTATATATAATCATAGCATAAGCAACAACATGATCTGTGCTTGCCCAGAAAATGGGTATGCCGCTATGCCGCATACCCGGACAATTGCAATTTGAATGAAGGAGTGATGAACAAAGACCATCAAATCAATCTGATGCTACCCAATTTTGAGACAAATCCATATTCCACTTGCAGGATCTTGGCCCTTGCTCTTTTAGCTTGCAACACACAGCTCGATGCTCAACAGCATTTACATACATTCATGTATTTCCACTAACTTTAGCACTATACAAGGTGAGGCCCCCCAGTTATAAGTTGGTGTTTAAACCCCATTAATTAACCATTCTTAATTGTAGGTGCATCACCCATAAACCAAAGTCAACCAAGTTATGAGTCAACTTAGCTATCTAAGGCCCCCTCACCTTGCAGGCACAATTCAGGGCATGCTTCTCTCAGGATCTTTAGGATCTTTAGATCAGCTTCCCAGTCCGCCTTCTGGTCAACAAGCATGGCATTATATTGGATTGGCAAATATACATATATATATATATACAGAATATAGAAAAAATACATGAACCTGCACATGATTTTCCCATTCAACGCGGAGATCTTTCTGCCATTGCCATGTTTTGTTTTAAACACAACCCTTACTACCTTCTGGTCATAAAATCATGGCAATAGAATCTCCCCCACATCCAGAGCTATAAACCTCCATGGCTAGTTGGGGGACTTCCCAGCAGCCGCGTGACCGCCAGTTGAAGGGGGACAACGAGGCCAGGGCAGAACTGTAGGACACCTCGTCGCAGCGAAGACGAAAGTCCTGGAACTGTTCGGTCAACCTAGGTCATGGCCAAATGGGCCCTGCATGGGATGAGGATGATGTCTAGCTGTCTAGCTTGAGGATGTTGTTCTTGTTGATAAAGATGAAGATGAAGATGATGATAAAGATGCATATATGAAGAAGAAGATGATGAGGAGGAGCAGGAGGAGGAGGAGGAGCAGGAGGAGGAGGAGGAGCGATGTTTGTGATGTTTGTGATGTTTGTGATGGTGCCACGTTGATGAGGATTATTACCATTATTGCATTATTCCGCACAGTTTTGATTCTTTTCATCCTCCCCGGCTGCTCGAGGCTGGAGGTCTTTTTCCCACCTATGGTCTGTTGCAAACATCCAGTGGTGATTGGTTGCCTCGGGCCACTCCCCCTTATCCCCCTTAAAAATAGGGAAGTCATTGGGGATCATCCGATGATATGGTTGAAATATGCTTGAAATCCACTGGAATCCATGAAAACCCCAGCTTAACATCGTCAAAATGCCAGCTTAATCCCAGTGAAATTCCGTTCAACTCTTATCAAGCCACCGGATCTCCCCTTAAATCACCAAGCTGCAATGTGACAGCGCGTCTCCAAGCCATGCCCTTCTCACAAGCAGCAATGGCAGCGTTGCCTGAAGCAAGGGAAAATCCTTCACCGACATTCGGCATCATATGATATATTGTCATGTAGCTTGAGGTGTTAAGAAATTTAGTTTTACTACCATTGTTCATGACTATAGCAATGAATACGTGGACTGTCTGAAAGCACTAGTCAGACAAGTCATAGCGAGTGACTAGCGCTAGAGTTTTTAAAAAGTGTGAGGTTGAAAACTGAACAGAAAAACTAGATTTCAATCAAATAACGCCTGCAAACCGTTGTTCCCCGACATGTTCTTGTCATTGGTGTCATTGACCAGCAAACTGTTTTTGTTTACTTGAAACGTGTTTTCCTCACCGAGTTACAACTGGAAAACCTCCAGTGCTCTAACTGTACGGATAACTGTACTCCACAAGTGTGCTTGTTTTATCATCCTCAAATGCCTTCCCAACTCAATGATCGATGCACTACCAGATCCACTGGTACCCTGGTACCCTTATCTAAAACAGTCTAAAACACAGAGACGTGCTGTGATATACATCAAAGTCAGGCATTTTTGTGGCCGAGATGCATGATGTGTTGGTCCAGTCCATCAGAGGAAAAGACTGCAGCATCCTCGCAATACGGCAACACGGTGGGCTCTTGGACGGCAACATATATCTAATTGGTGGTTTCAACCCCCCTGAAAAATATGAAAGTCAGATTGGATCATCATCCCAACTAACTATTGGGGAAAATAAAAGCCATGTTCCAAACCACCAACCAGATATCATCAAAAAACTTCTCAAACTCTAACTTTCCCCAGTGCCTTATCGATACCTTGCCGAATATCCTGCTGAGGCGCAGGGCTGATCGCCAGCATCCATGTTGCCGGAATTGCAGGATGATCGTAGACTGTTAGTAGATGTCCTATTCTGGCCCCCACCACGTAAACAAATGTATAGATACAATGATACAGTTATTAGTTATATATAACAGACATGGATGTGGAATCGGCTTGGATGGAATTTGGTTGTTTATACTATCATTGCTAATCAAACCCTGTCATGGCTGTGGGCTGCCTCACCACAGCCGAGACTCCACAAAACACGTTGCCATCGTCGCCGCTTCTCACCTGAACAACACAGAATCGCAGCAAAGTCACGGTGATGACTGTGATAACCATGAACAAACCCCAACAATTTCTCTTTCTTTATGTTAATGGTCATGTCGCTGATGGAAATGTTGTTGATGTTCATCTGATTTCATCTGATGCTGATGCTGTTGATGTTGATGTTGCTGGTGATGATGATGATGATGATGATGGTGGTGATGGTGATGATGGTTGTTGTTGGCATGCGGCTGATACGGCGCCCTTGGAAGGGTTGCCAATTTTGAGATGTGCCATTTACGATCCCTTGGAAAGGTTGCAAATTTCAAAAATGAGGCTTGCGCAAATGGGGGTATAGGATTTGTTTTTTTGAATTTTTAACATGTTGCACATGCTGTCGTATGATCATCGGGGGGGTGGGGGTGGGGGGGGTATTAACGTTCTTGACAAGCACTTCCTTATGTTACGGAAGATGCACGCGTTGCACCTGCTGTCGTATGATCATCAGGGGGGTGGGGGGGGGGGTGAGGGGTGGGGGGGTGCATTAACGTTCTTGACGAGCACTTCCTTTACTTTACGGAAGATGCACACGTTGCACATGCTGTCGTATGATCATCAGGGGGGGTTCACAGCTCTAGCGCTCTCACTGCAGATGGAGCCAGAGGTTTTGCAGCCAGTTGTGACAAAGATTACCCCCACAAAAGGTTCAAGATGGCGCAAGTCAACCACAAAGAAAATATCGTTACTAAGACTTATCATTTTCCAGGTCGTTTGCGGGGTATATCCTATAGAACCATTGTTGCTGGTACTCAACAAATGGATGGAACACGGAAACACCTAAAAAAATTGCGACCTCCGTCGATGCTCCACCAAAAAAAATCACAACGTGCACAAAAAAAGGTACGCTTGGGCCTACAGCTGGGCATGGCGTCACAACGCTGCCTTGTTGCAGACTGTGGCTTCTGCTTTGCCACAAGCGCTCTGGCACCGCTAGCGTCAAGAAGGGGAAAAAACTGAAAGAGTGAATGCTGCCCTGAAATGATTCGGATGATTGAAAATCATAGATTCTAATGTTTTTTTTGACCCTTGAAGAGCAAAATCGAGTCACCGCGCAGGCGAAACGCAAATTTTCACTCTTGAGTCACACGCCTGCCAATCGAAATGAATGTCCATGTTGCAAACATTTTTTGACGACTCCTGCAATTACCAGCATTTTGTCTCTTACCCTCAAAAATCAGAATTTCGAATTCGTCACCCTTACAAGGGCGCCGAGTCAACCGGTTGCCTTGTTGTTACTGTATTCCTGTTATTGTCCTTGTCCAGGACGGTCGGTTCTGCCAGAAGAATGTTTCCAGCATGCAATGAAAACGTCTCCGAAACTTGGAGGAATCCCAAACGATCCGGCCTACAATCAAATTACAGAGTGGTTGGACTACTCTATATATATATATATTCTCTTCATCACTCATGCCGCTCAATGGTAATGACCTCTTTCGACTGGTAAGCATCTATAAAACTCCAAGTGTTTGCTTTTCTTTTGATTCACGTTTAAGAGACATCTTACCAGAAAGCCTCGACTTTACCATCACAAAAAGCGTTTGTTTCAACAATCGAACGTCAAACGACTCATTCAAATGATTCATTTACCCCTTTAGTAGTGATTCATCCATTATTCTACTATTAACCCTGGGATAATCCATGAGTCGTGGGGTTTCGAGGAACAAAAACCTTTAACACATTCCAAGAATGGTTGCATCCACCGTCAACATGGGCACATCTGCACCAGGCGAGAGGCAGGCGCTGAGAGCGGCATTGCATGTCACCACCTGGGGATATCTTAGAGGCTTGATGGCTCAATGAAGCCGGAGAACAGAAAGGATGTAAACCAATCAAACTTGATTCGATGGTTTGTTTAACCTTGCCAGCATTAGTTCTTCATCATTCAATTCAAATCACTAATCAACAAAATCAGGAGTTTCACTGTTTCACTTATAATTATGCATGAACTCACTTATATAACTTATGTAATGCACGTAAATAGTAGTTCAATCTACCAAGAAAAGGATGTTTGAGGTGCACACACGAAATTATATGAAGGATTAATCTGAAAATATCTCTTCAGATATTTGCCAGCAATATGAGATCATGAACTCACCAAGACCCAATGATGAGTTCATGATGTTCTTCTAGGAACCGCGTCGGATTGCTAAAAATCACCTGGTTGCGTTCCCATCTGCTCGGTGAGGCCATTGACAAGGTTCAACCGGCGGATGAACAAAAGGTATAGCGCCTCCCAAAAAAATAGAGACGTAAATCGTCATGATCATCACTTTTTGAACAAAATGTCACTTTTTATTGTTTGTGGTTGGTGTACAATACACATTTCCTATAGATGTTCTTTTCTCTAACACCCACTATATCAGCATTCTTATATGATTGTTTATTCTCATGTTTCTCTATGTTGTTCAATGATGTCTAATTATGAATGTATATAATATATGGGTATATTAACGTGTATCATTATAGAATTATTTTTTATTATGTTATATATATATATATTATGTTATATATATATATTATGTTATATATATATTATGTTATATATATATACACATTATATGGCACCCATTGGCATCCATGGTTTTCTCTCACATACGATGACCGCAGCCGACGCCGACCACCGAGGTGCGTCCGGGGACATTGGAAGCTCCGCCAGAAGGCCCAGCGCCTCCTGCCACTGCTCGGCTTTTTCACCTACGAAGGTGGGACCAGGAAGCCAGGAAGCCACCTGTTACCACCTGTTACCCGAAATGGTAAACAGCCACATAACTATGGAAAATCACCATTTTTAATGGGAAAACTATGGAAAATCACCATGTTTAGTGGAAAAACATACATAGCCATGGAAAATCCCTTATAAAAGGGGGGTTTAATGGGAAAATCATCTATAAATCTGGTAAACAGCCACATAACGAACTTGAAAAATGGAAAAATCCAGCATTTTGAATGGGTAAATCAACTATTTTGACTGGGCTATTTTCAATAGCTATGTTAAATTACCAGAGGGAACCAGAAATGTGAAAACGGTAGAGATCCAAAGGAACCTGGTTACTTAGAACGGAAAATAAATGAACATAGCACTATTTCTAGATGATTTACCGCAACATGGTGGATTTTTATATGATTCCCAAAAGCTATGTTAGCTTGCCAGAGGGTAATAAAGGTGCAATACCAACCATCTTGGGGATACAACGGGGGTTCCTCAATATAAGCAACGTCGCAACCGACACATCTCACCAGTTTTAATCTTTATAATGAGAGATGCTCACACATATACATGTAAAAAAACGATCTCCAAATTGTGGTTTAACTAAAAAAATAAAAAAAACTATCGTTATTTGCATATACTAATTTTTGTGTACCACTACAGTACATGCGATGCCTTTTTGTTATTAAGGACCCCAAAAATTGGTTGATAATTTGGGATCCCCAAAAATGGATTTTTCATGCACAAAATCATCGCGAAGCAAGCGCTTGCGCCAGTGGCGCCAGTGATTCCAGCGAGCCGCAGGCGCTGATGCTGCTGTTGAAGGACACCAGGTCTGCTGGATCCATAATCTGCAGTGCCATCTGCCAGCCGTGGGATTTTTCCTTGGTGGAGCTTGCTTGGCGAACCATGGCACCATGGCCTAACTTGAAGGCTTAAACATCGAAAATCTGACTGTACAATGGGTCGATGAACAAAAATGTGTTATCTCTTGAGAATGCACTTCCTGATGCCACATATGCACACATCCCTTTCATTCCCTTTCCAGAATCTGGCACGTTGTCAAGAAACATGTTTGTTTCTCCTCTTCCCATCACGAAGTCGTGATGATGATCATGATCATGAGCATCAGCATCAGAAGCATCAGAAGCATCAGAAGCATCAGAAGCATCATCATCATCATCATCATCATCGTCATCGTCATCGTCATCGTCATCGTCATCGTCATCATCATCATCGTCATCATCATCATAGTCATAGTCATCATCAAAAATATCATCATAATCATCATCATCATCGTCGTCATCATCATCATGAATCATCAACATCATCATTCTTAATACCCTCATCCTCATCACCATCATCACCACCACCACCATCAGCATCACCACCATCAACATCTTTGCCAAGAATTGCATCCGCCTGCGCTTACTCAGTTTTGTTTCAAGCTTCGCACGCGCTCACCATGGAATTGTACACGATGACATTGGGTTGCGTGCCGATCGGTCCATCACGCCGCAGATCGGCCACCAAACAGGCAGCCCTGGGTGATGCAGGAAATTGAAAGAATTGCAGGGAGATATCATATGCATATTTTGACATGTTTCAGTGTATTTAACCAATATATATATATATATATTTATGTGCGTGTGTGTGTGTGTGTGAAAGAAGTATTTCAAATATCCATGTGCACGTGTGCCCAAGTATGTGCATGTATGTGCATGTAACTGCATGCATGTATGTGATATGTATGTAACTCCATGCATGTTTTTTGCATGCATGTGCATGTAATGTAGTGCATGCATGCTTGTATGGGAGTATATATGTACCAATATTTGTATGACATCATGCATGCGTACAATACATACATGCAACCGAACAATCATATTTGTATCCTACATGTAGGGTGGCACAGCACCAGTATTGGGATCGTCATCAATACAGGAGCAATGCGATCAGGGGCAATGGATGTGCAACCAGTTGTGCCGCAAGCTTTGTCTGCAAACAATTTGCCCAGCTGAACACCTATACTGGCGTTACCTAAGGTGGTACCCCAAACCCATGGCCGTCGGGCCTCTGCCAGCCCTCTCGTATGGCGCTAAGGGCGCTGATGGCAGCACTGCATCGCATCAGCTTGGTCTGGAGGCCGCGTACAGCACATGGGAATTCCATGGGTTAGAACCAGTATGAGTTGGTATATGCTAGTGCTAGGCTCCCAATGAACTATACATTTTTTACATGTTGAACATTTTTTGTGCTCATGTTGCATTAACATGTAACATAATGTAACGCTATAAATTGATATGATCTGAGTAAGGTTAAGGCTTTGGACCCTTGACTGTCATAAGGTGTGAGATGTGGTGAAGATGAGCTGCAAGGGTCTGCCAAAACATTGCAACATCTATGTATTCGTGTGTTGGTTCTGTTCGTAAAGTAGATGGAATTTATTGTCAAAATGTGAATCGGCATGGTCCGTAAATATTAACATTTCGGCATACGTACCAGCATTCCCCCCCCTGCCGGGTACTAACACCAGAAAGTGACGTTCCATACTTACTAAAACCACGTCAGCTCAAAAGATATCACAGCTATGTTGACTCAAACATACTCAAACTATAGTGGTTCCCACCATGGGGCAACCCTTTCCGATTTGGTATGATTGCTACCGCCAAACGGTGTATTACCGGGTCAACGAGGTGCTGTTTATGGCAAGTTTAAAGCATACTCAGGGCGGCTAGTCCCCAACAAAAACCTGCTTTTATCTACGTAGTCTTTTTAAAGATAGTGGCTTCACTTATAAATTAGTACTTATAAATTAGTATCCTTCATATATATATACATATATATATATAATCATTCATATATATATATATACAATATACTTATATATATATACTTAGAGTATATATACTTATATTTGATTATGTTTTTAATACTGTATAGTATACATATTTATCACCAACCCAGTCCGACTCCCATCCATTGCCACAGAACTTCCGGGCCTCCGCAAGTCGTGGCATCTGCAGGGCCCAGCGCCAAGGACTGGCCAGGCTGAGGCCGATCCGAAGGCTGTGGGGCCATAGCTGGTGGCGATCACCTGAAATCCCGGAAAAAATGGGGAGATCCATGGGGAAATCTTGAAAATCCATGGGAAATCCCATAGAAATAGCCATTTTTTCATGATATATGATGGAGGTTTAGTTCCGTAAAATTTGATTGAACTAAATGGTCCGGCCAATCATGGAAATCGATTTATAAATCAACAAATGGAGGTTTTGTTCGCTGGGGGTGTTCAAACCAGCCGTGTTTGATTACCGGATAGTATATTTCTGGGATGATGATGATCTGGTAGGCATGGAACGTATTTACAAATATAACTATTTATATATATATATATGTATATACACACAATGTATATATATATATATATATGTGTGTGTGTATGTATATATATACATATAATTATATATATAAATATATATATATATACGTCCCTTTCGCTCTGGCAGGCTTCTGTTGCACGTAAACATGGACTGTAGTTACACGTGGCAAGGAATCATCGCAAGAAGGATGATTCACAGATGTTGTGATGGCATGCACCCAAAACTGTTGACATAGCTTCAACGTCTTTAACAGCCAAACGCGCCCACACCTTCTCCTGGCCAGCTTGGATCTGCTTCAGGAACCCCTAAACATAGAGCGGATTCCCTGTAGATTCCTATAGCTTCCACAATTGTAGTGGATTTCCCATTGGGGAAATAGCTAAATCACCAACAAACCCAGGGTGAATAGGATGTGCAGGCCGGCCAAACCTGACTCTGCTAAGTCGAGGTGCAAACGCCACTGAACGTGTTGTAGGAGATGGAGCTCGGTCTCATGGCGTGCTGCTGCATGCGGTGGAAAATGTCCCTGAGCATCTAAAGGGGACAGCTCAGGTATCCGGAATGATCAGTAGACGATAATCCACGGGCCCATGCACGTCCAAGACGATAAATTACCATTTAGTAGGCTAACCAAACTTAAGGTTCTGCTTCCGATCCACCCCTAAATAAAGTGCCTGCATCAATGCAGGCGTTGTACTGTTGTTTCAGGTTTTCTCCAGCCCCAACAAAGAGACCCAGCGTTGTTACAAAAAATGGAATGGGCAACCACGCCCACCCAACATACAAGGAATTAAAAAAATGTGGTGATTCCATCTGCATATAATAAGCTTAGTGTTGGTTTCTTCTTTCACTGTACCTTAGCACAGTAATTATCATCAGTCAGTGTCATTATTGAGACTCATTTCTTTCTCTCTCTGTATGGCTACGAATTGCTGTTGTTAGCTATTGTCATATACTGTGCAAGGTCTATACTATATTAATGCACCACATCAGTATACTGATGATGCCCCCAGTTTCACATAGATCATGATACATCACGTTGGCGCAACCCGTTTCAACCAGTTTCCGCCACGTCACATCGCTGCTGGCCACCTGTCGCTGTTGCAGCTGATAGCCGCGTTGTGGCTAATGACATCCGGCTGCAGCCTGAAACCACAGCCATGGCCCCCGTGGCATGGGCTGGGGGATGCCATCATTTGGGAATCCTTGGCATAGTTCACCCCATTTCACCAGCCAAATGTGGGGTATATAAACAACCATTCATGAAATGGTGATAGATCATCGCAAAATCACCAGCAACCAAGGGGTTAGCTTGACCAGCTGGGTCAGCTTTGGAAGGGGGTGGTTCAGGGGATTTACACAGATTTGGGACCATTTTTCGGGGTGCGTTATAAATATTTAATAAATTTCTTATAATAGGGGGATGGGATTACAATAGTTGGGTGATGTTGGGTATGGGTCAATTTTTTCAAACCTTAGGAACCGCAGATTAGAGCCCATGTTGAGTAACCATCCAACGATTGGGGGACCGAATTTTCACCACCCAGTTATTGTCAGTTCTATGTCCCTTGAAGCATCAACCTTTGGGATGCTGGAGACAGTGGGATTTACAGAGTTCATCGAACATCGGGAGTCAACACATCGACAAATGGAGAAGATATATGGGATAGATGAGGAGAAATTGAGGATATACTTGATCATATCCCACCAATAAACAAAACAATATGGAAACCCCATATGTCAACTCGAAGAGATGATCCTGGAGGTAACAAAATCATCTTCTGGGGAACACAGGGGACCTCTCCAAGTTTGACATCGCACACACCAGATTTGTGACCAGCAACATGTTGACCCGCAAAAAGAAATCAAATATAGACAGCTCCAAATTCATGTGCCAAAAACAAAATAGGGGGAATACTGTTAACAGCTGGTTTCACCAAAGAAAATCAGTTTAATGATGAAGCTTTGAAGCCCTCACTGTTTGAACAACAACTCAACCAACTCAATAATCTAGACGGTCAAAGATTGGGCAAAACAGCCCAACAAATATCGACTCACTAACACACGCGTCTTCGCCAAACCAATTCTCGTGCCTTGTGTCACAATCGTCATCTTAGCTTTCATCATTACAGACTTGGTTTAAGGAAAACTCAATGCCGGTAAATCCAAACTCTTGGCTGGTAAATCTTTGCTTTCCTCCATAAAAACCATTGACAAGAATCGACACGTCAAAACTGATGCCAAGTGTCATGTAGAAGATTTGAAAACACAACGTCCAACACAATCAAAACTTAAGTCTTGTTGTCAGGGGAACTTAAAGATGGCTATGGAACATCAATGCCAAAATAACAGGTGAGTAATTCATCGAACTAAATGGGCCATCCATACCATAGCAGCCATAACAAACTGTTAAATTCCCAGAGGGTATCCATTCAATGAGTGGCAATCCATCTGCAACTAACCACCATGATTTTATTGGATATGGGAAGATACATGGATATACAGCCATCCTACCATCCTACTACATCTAGTATTTTAAAGTGTGGTTGAACAAATACCCATTAACCCATCCTACTATCCCATGATATACCCAATGGATGGGCTGTATTAGTGGGATGGTTTTTTGATTGGGTATACAATTCAGCCATCCTACATATAAACCATCCCATTCATCAACCATTTGGCGCCTCCATTGCGTGGAGGCCTTGAAGAGTGCCAGGCTCAAGGGCCACGACGTCGCGCCCGTCGCGCCAGTCGCGCTGATGCAAGCGTTCAAGGTCAAGAGGTTTCCAGCCACATGTCCTTTGTGGAAACATCCCCATGACTCGATGAATTCATAATTCATGGCGTACCCTTGGGTTAATCATGGTAATCATGGTTAATTGATAAATCTAATATGAATTGTGAATTATCAAAAGGTGGATGATTGTATCTTATTGTGTCATCTGATTGAAATGTATTGTTAATGATTGTTCATGACGATTTAATGTGGCTGAATGGTTTGAAACGGTGAGAAAATCATGATTCGTGAAGATTTCACCAACGAACCGGACACATAGGGACATTATTTCAAACCAATACAGTAAACCGTGATTTGAATCAGTGGATTGATTGGTTCCGCATAGGAATTTCATGGGGATCGTCCCACTTGGAGGATCATCCCAGGAATCGTAAGAAGTTAACATGACTTAACAACCAATAGTTTCTATCGTAAGGATTTGTAAGGTCCTTTTTGGAAGAAATAGAGGGGCCGGTTGTTGAATGGGGGGGATCCCTCTACTCAACAACCAACCAGTGGGAACAGGACATCGATAGGTCCGTAGGGTACGTAACCTCCAAAATGGGGACATGATATAATGGGCTTGAAACCTCCATGGTGGATTCACATGGGTGAACCAAGCAATGATACCGTAGGATTTAGCCAACTCAATTTGCAATCCTACCCATTCCCTACTATGAAACACACCCCCATAGGGGACGCCAGAATGAATAGATCCAGTAGTACACAAGGGTTGTTCGGGTGCGAAATTTGATTTCTATTTAGTTGTATATGTATAATATATATATATATATGTATAGACACTAATTTCTTTCAGCAGAACATATGTGTTTTCTATTATTTTTGGGATTCAAGAAAACGAACCCCAAAAAAAGGACGTGACCAGCAGTGATTTGAGCAGGGTAGCAGCCATGGGCGATCCCAAAGATATGCTGCTCTTTGCCACTGACTGGGACCTAAGCTGGTTACAACTTATAAGCAACTTGCAACATGGTGGTTGGGCCATGGGGGTTGAACAATTTCAATATCTCCAGGAATTGTGGCATTAAAATGACAGGGGCTGATGGGTAGATAGCCAGCCTCCGAGATCTTCTGGTAGCAGAACTGAAACGAAGCGTTGAGACATCTGAGCAAGTACTGGATGGTACATGATGTTTCGCACAGAAAAACGTGACATCTTTTTTAAAGGAAAATATTGTGGCCCATTTATAGATGAATTATGATGATTTACCATATTTACCTATTAAAAATTGTGATCTCCCATAGCTACGTTAAATAACCAGAGGGTATTTTGATATTGGCTAGTGAAACCATCCTTTGTCGATGGTTCTGTAGCATCGATTCTTCAATCCCATCAAAAAAACATAATTGATGGTTAGCCGCTCCTACATAAAGAAAGTTGTTTCAGTTGATGATATTGAAAAACTATCTAACAACATAAACGGTGTCCAACCATATTCAATCACAAATTAAATAAATAAATAATATATATATATATATTAACTATATCTAGCCTCTGGAAATCAGACGTGGCTAGCTGGAGAAATCCTTCATTTAGTTTGATGATTACCCCAGCTATAAGCCTCCATGGCTAGTTCAAGAATTTTCCAGCCAGCCAGATTGGGTAAATCCATTCATATCCCATTATCCAATGATTATTCCCATGGATTTCTCCCATTACAACATGATGATGGAGACCTCACGGGCTCTACCCAGCATCTGTTTGCAAAATCTGCGAGCCACTGGCAGCTGCTGCGCCAGGTTTTCTGGTTTCCACTGATGCAAGAGGTCTGTGTGACGACCTGAAACCGCTGGCTTTAGATCACTGAAGAAAAACATTTTGGGCCAAGGGACGCCAACGTTACGTTCCTCAATTCAGACAACGCCACATTATCCCAGTAATAGTGGTGTAAAAATGGTTAGTCATGGAATGCCAAATGGGGTTCAGAAAAAAAACACAGACTGCGGACCATTGGGAACTGGGAAATGGAGCTATTTCCATCCAGGCGTCATCACTCTGCACCGTCTGCATCTCCATCATCGTCACAAGTTCTTGCGACAGCCTCCATAGGTCACATGCACCTCGCGATGGGCGCAGCATGGTCGAATGGATTTGTTTCAAGCGCCCCCAAAAGGCAATCCCTCCAACAATAACAGATGTGTAATAAGTCCTAAGTATTCAGGGTTACCATTGGGGGTGGTTGAACCCCTGTCATTCTGCAACCTTCGTCAAGGGACAAATGGCTGAATTGAAGGTCACCAGGTCAGGTTGCAGCTGTTGCTGCGCCAGCTCCTGGTTCCGACGTGCTCATCGTTTAATGAAGAAGTAGATATAGACTCCGCGGAAATAAATAAGAACACACATAGATAATTCAATTCATGAATGCAGCCATCTTTCTGCATATTCAATACCATGTATATATATTTATACACAATAAATAAATAAATAAATATATAAATATATAAATATCTATAATAATATATATATATGTATTAAAGAATCTATATATATATATATAATCTCACATGTGCTTGGAAAACTCTTAGTAGCTCCTTGGCTCCCCATTGAACAGGGAATACCATACGTGTGGCTATGAACCGCTACCTCCGAATAACTGGACTAATAATGTCATTGAATCCCTATCAAAGGGTAATGTTTATTGAACATGTGTTATCATGTTTATCAGTTTATCATTATTAACTTAATTAACCAATACTCACCATGTTCAATCCACATTTACTACATAAACCATCATTAACCAAGTATTCATACTTGAATTTGCTTAAGGAACCCGAAGAAAAGACAAGATCTTCCCCAAAAAGCCCAAGGTTCCCCAAACTTGGTGGACTTCCGGGACAAGAAAAATCATCGACGAGGGGCAATTCCAGGCGTATTGTAACTGGTATAACATTATCAAATGGATTTTATGGTAAATGTTTACAGTTTGTTATAGTCTACCCTCTGATAATTATGGTAAACTGTTTATCATTATCAAACCATAGTCTACCCTCTGGTAAAATAACAAATGGGATTTTATGGTGATTCAATGGGATATTAATGGGATATACCCTCTGGTAAATTAACATAGCTATTGAACATGTCCATTTATAGTTGATTATGTTGATTTGCCCATGAACAATTGTGATTTTCCAGAGCTATGTTAATTTACCAGAGGGTAACCATTATTATTGACCATTACTAGTGTTTGTTATTGACCAGTATTGACCATATTTTCAGCCAGTATTAATACTATCAACCAGTATCATAAAATCCAATGAATCCACATTAACCATTACTAGCCATTGTTGACAAGTAACACGTCTTGATCCATATTAACCATCATTATAACATATTAAAACCATGACATGTTTGACACGTAACATTAACCGTTATTAACAAGTTAAATGGATAATTAATATGTAAAAAACAAACATTAATATTATTAGACATGATATTTTGTTTACCCGTTATTATGAAAATGCCTATGATTCCCCTTGATATTCATTCAACATCTTTGGTCCATCGCCACAGGAAAATCCCATCCCATTGGTTGGTGCACAGGTGATCCCGCACCAGGTAGTGACAAACATCTCCGAGGAGATCAACCAAGGTTTTTCACATGTTTTAATAATATAATAATCAACCAGGTAGTATGATCATAATCCCCGAAAAATGATCCAGGTTGTTTCTTACACCCAATGCTATGTTTGTTTCATGGCTTACCCTCTGGTAACCCAACATAACTATTGACAATCACCACTTTTAAGAACGGTAAATCAACGAACCAATCAACGAACCAACTGGGCCATGTATACCATAGCAAACTGTTAGCCATTCCCAGAGGCTAAGCCATAAAAAAGTTCTGGAAAATCCATGGAAAAGCTCCTAGAAATCAAGGTTTCAATATGTTTCAATGGTATTTTTTCATCGCATAACTATAGAAAACTTGCCTTTTCCCATTACGAGTCATGGCTTCCTCCAGCTTTCCCAGCGTTTTGCGCCACGACGAAAGCGCCAGGCTGTTGAAGGTCACCACGTCCCAGGCGCCACGGACGCCGCCCAGAAGGGCCATGGCCAGGCGCCAGGGCAGCAAGGGAACCTGGGCAGGTGGATGGGCGGGATTTTTTTTGGTGGCTGAAGAAGGTTTTACATGGTGTTATATGGTTTTATATGGTTTTAATATAGTTTTAATATGGTTTTAATATAGTTTTAATATGGTTTTATATGGTTTTATAATGGTTCTAGTAGTATAAAGGGATTATATCATGATGGTTTTATATGGTGTTATATGATTTTAGTGAGGTAATAATCATAATATCTATAAAAATTCTATATATATAAATAAATATATATATATATATATATCAATATTATATAATGATTGGGATGTATCCTCCGGTGGCATCAAACGTGGCTGAGAAATCCCCGAACTCAATGAAGATCTGTGGCTGGTGAAAGCAACCAGCTAAGGATCTTTTTAAAGAAAATAATCCCATTTAGGCAGTGGTGCTTTAGTGGCCGAAAAAAAGCAAGCTATGAATGAAATCACCCAGGAGGATCCCCCAAACAGCTGGATTTTCATTGAAAAAATATCTGATCTTTTTGTGTAGGAATTGGCATGACATGTAACTATTCTGAAGGGAAATATGGGCAGTGTAGATAGACTATGGAATTCTCACATATATTCTCATTTACTGAAATTGATTTGAAATGTCCATTCGATTTCCTTCGGGACTTTCAGGTAGCCACTCGCCCAGTTGATGCAGTGAAGCGGCCACGGTGTTGTAAGAGACCACATCCTCAGAGGGGGGGTTCCAAAGGCAAATAAAGATACACTAAAAGCAAAGAAGCATGTGCAGGGAGGTCGGCTAGTAAGGATCTACGTTGCTCGTGCAAATGATAGTTAATTACATATTACATATATGCAGATATAATCATACATATATATAGTTACATGTACTTGCCTCCCATCAGGGAAGAACAAACCACAAGTGAACGGGGTTAGTTTGATAAACCGCTAATGTTGATGGTGCTGAATGTGCTGAATAACCCCTTAAGAACGCTTTATCGTAAGAAACATAGCTTGAGAATAGTGGATGTCCTGTCTGTCGCCTCCTCTAAGTCCCTGATTGGTGGGTCCACTGACGTCTTACCTTTGCCGTTTGGCCAAAATTATATCTGCTTGGTGGTTGACCTACCCCTCTGAAAAAATATGAAAGTCAGTTGATATTATTCTTCCCAATATGTGGAGAAAGAGCATGTTCCAAACCACCAACCAGATATTCAAATCTATGCAAATCTATGAAGACACACACTACTAAAACAATGCAGTACCTTTTTTCCCCACCTGCCAGGTGAGGGTTGTTAGATTTTATGTCAGTTGCCTCCTCCTCCTCCTTCTCCTCCTTCTCCTCCTCCTTCTCCTCCTCCTCCGCCTCCTCCTGCCTCGTCCTCCTCTCCTCCTCCTCCTCGTCCTCCTCGTCGTCCTCGTCGTCCTCGTCGTCCTTGCTCAACTGCGACCCGCGATCCACAGTGTTCTCTGCCGGACCTCAACCACGACCATCCACGCCCAGGGTTCCCTGCCGGACCTCAACCACGACCATCCACGCCCAATGTTCCCTGCCGGACCTCAACCACGACCATCCTCGCCCAGTGTTCCCTGCCGGACCTCAACCACGACCATCCTCGCCCAGTGTTCCCTGCCGGACCTCAACCACGACCATCTACGCCCAGTGTTCCCTGCCGGACCTCAACCGCGAGTATCCACGCCAAGTGTTCCCTGCCGGACCTCATGTAGGAAGATATGGGACAAAGAATGTGCAGAAGAAAGTTAGAAAGAATGTCAGAAAGAATGTCAGAAGATATGCCAGAAGATATGCCAGATAGAATGCCAGATAGAATGCCAGATAGAATGCCAGAAGATATGTCAGAATATATGCCAGAAGATATGCCAGATAGAATGCCAGATAATATGCCAGAAGATATGCCAGATAGAATGCCAGAAGATTTGCCAGATAGAATGCCAGAAAATATGCCAGAAGATATGCCAGATAGATATGCCAGAAGATATGCCAGAAGATATGCCAGAAGATCAGAATATATGCCAGAAGATATGTCAGATAGAATGCCAGAAGATATGTCAGAATATATGCCAGAAGATATGCCAGATAGAATGCCAGATTGAATGCCAGATAGATATGTCAGAAGATATGCCAGAAGATATGCCAGATAGAATGCCAGAAGATTTGCCAGATAGAATGCCAGAAGATATGCCAGAAGATATGCCAGATAGAATGTCAAATAGAATGTGTCAGATAGAATGCCAGAAGATTTGCCAGTAAGAAAATGTATAAATGTCATGGTGGGGATCACACGAAGTAAAGTAATTTCTCTCTCTCTCTCTCTCCCCATCACCATCAGGTCGAAACCTGCCAGGTCCCATATTTCAAAGCCAGCATCGTGTGGCACAAACCTCTCAGCTGCATCTTGAAGCAGCTGCAAAGATATGTCCCAACGGACACACTTGCCACACGCCTTCGCAAGGGATGTCTGGCAGGTTATTGTAACCACACCTTGAGAGAGGCGGTTTTTTTACTGTACTGTATCTGTCTATGATTTCTTGCATTACACTTTTACCTCGTGATACACGTAGGGTGAAAACAAAAGGTTTATATTAACATATGATGCTATATAATGAATATTAATGAAAATTAATGAACATTAATGAAAATTAATGAATATGAATGAAAATTAATGAATATGAATGAAAATTAATGAATATTCTTGTTCACACCACCGGTCCAAAGTAGTGATACAACCTGCAAACGGTTAATCAACATAATCATTGGGATACACGATGCCTGTCCATGCGCAGCAAATGGTGTACAAATGAGCGACATGACGCTAGCAACAACCAACATGGGGATGTAAGAAAATAGCTGTGACCCCTCACCCTGCTACATTTGAACTTGTAAGCAACCCAAGAGAAACATATGGGTAGAGTTTGGCGAATTTCGAATAACATAACACATATATAAAATATCATAACATTATATATATATATATGAATATAGATTGTAATTAATCTATGTATCTGGGGGGTTTCTACACACACACTTCGCAGAGATCCAACTTTTGAGCTCAAATCTGCCATGGATATTCAGCAGAACTGACGTGTAATTACATGTGTATCCACCCAGAAACATCAAAAAGCTCACTGGGCCAAGGCGCACTCACGGCAGCGTTTAGAAGAATTGTATTTCTGCCTTTGCGAGTGAAGGTTACGGGCGATTCAACCATGGGGTTCATGATTCCCGCTCAATAGCGGTTTCAAGAGGCCAAGGGGAAAACAACTCAAAACAATATTGAGATAGCTCTCAAATGGAGGGTTCCTAAAATATGGGTACCCCCAAATCATCCATTTTAGTAGGAATTTGTATTATAAACCATCCATTTGGGGTACCCCTATTTTAGGAAACCTTTAATCAGTGCAACAACATTGTATTTCAACATTTCTGGGAGAACACATCCCGAATGGGATCGAATTCAATGTGCGACCAACCAAATGTTAAGCCTCTTTTGCGGGAATGATTTCTATATCGGGTTCTGTTTCCAAAATGGTAGAATTGTGTGACATGAGGGTTTATGGCTCAGAGTATGCAACGTAGTGACGTAGTGGCGCCACCTTCCATTCCTAAATCAGTCCAGTGGCGCAAACTCTTGGCATCCAAACTTGCCAAAAGTTGCAGAGCGGTCCTGGAAACAAACACATGGAGATTCAACACTTCAAATGCGGTGGGGACACATCTGTGAACCACCAACCATTGCTTGTCCGCATTGGAAGGGTCTTCGGATCTTGTGGATGCCATGCATTGTGGATGCCATGCAAGTATAGATAGTATAGTCTTACGTCCCTTTCATGAAGGAACTTATGTGAAAACAATGATTAGCCTGTGGTCAATCAATCATTCACAGGAACTGGTAGCGTTTCATCTGCTCATTTGCTGCTGAACTCATCGTTAGCATCTACAATAGTAATTTTTGGCTCTATACGCTGTCGATGAGTCAGTGGTTTCCATACATCATTCTCCGGTTGGTGCTTTTAACATGTTTTAACCCATCTCTCAAAAAGATATATAAGTCATCTCAATCAGCCCAAGTGCGGTTCAAAAAAAACAAAACTATTTGAACCCTCTAGCATCCTCTAGCCAGTTATAAATTGTTATTAAACTCCCAATGATGGCCAGCAGAAACAACCCCCAGCAGTCCTCCAATCATCTCCTTAGTCAAAGCATGAGAGGAGGCAAAGGGGCACACGTCGCTCGTCCGTTGGGAAAAACTCCTCATGTCTATCACCAAGCGGCCACGGCGGCAAGCTGCAATATTCTTACCTGGGAGCGCGCTATATGGTGAACCAGCAAAGCATAGGGTTAAGCCACCCTACTATAGGTTAACAAGAAACTAACATATGAAAATCAATGAAGAAAGCCGCCAGGGCTTCAGAGAGGGAACCAAGGACACATTATAGCACATAATCTTTAATTCCACAGTTTTATTCTTACTCGCATCTATACCTAGACTTAAACAACAGTATACTGTACAATTCTACATGCATAGTAGATGACACGTCCATCCCCAGCCTTTTACACCCCCTCATACTTAAATGAAACCTATGAAACTTTGACCACGTGAAATCAAATTTGGGAACATGAAACGCCATACTGGTTACCCTCTGGTAACCTGGCAATCTAACATAGCTATGGAAAATTACAGCTGATTTACCGATTACTCTAACGAAAACAAACGTAGACCCTAATTACATTAAACCTACGTTTAAACGTAGACCCCGGTGAGCAAGTTTGCTGATCCAGGGTCTACACCCAATCGGGAAAGTCAGTGCACCGTCCCTCTGAAACACAAATCACCATGGGACGCCGCGCATTTGGGAAGTCAGAGAAGTCAGTGCAAAATCATGCAAATCAGCATGGGACGCCGTGCGCCAGCAATCATCTATTTCGTTTAATGTTCGGTGTTTTTTATGGCTGTAAAATTCGGAATCATATTGTGGACGCTGCATCTATGCAGTCATTGTTTTAGGTTGTTTTGAATGATTTTGTTGAAAAACACAATGGGACGCAAGTTTCACCACAACTACAGTCAAAGCGAAGCTACCAACCAAAGGGTGCAAGGACGGATGCAATATGATGCAATCCAAACAAACAGACAGTCATGACTGGCACGTGCCGAGCAGGCGTATTAGCGCATCGCCCTGCTCTCATGCCTGACAAGGCGAGTGTTTGCCGTTGGCCTCAAGCACGCAGGGCTCCCCGATCGCCGGGCAAGTGACGACTGTTGCGTGTGCCCCTTGTGGCGCACGCAGCTCGGTAGTGGGAAGGTAAGCAGCAGCAACAGCAGCAGCAGGAACAGCAGAACCAGCAGCAGTAGCAGCAGCAGGGACAAGACAAAACAAGGCAAGACAAGGCAAGACAAGGCAATACAACTCACGTATTTCCGGCGATACTCTGGCGATACCCCGGCGATACCCTAAAATGGAAAAAAAGAACCCCTCGCCACCAATCCCCCTCATCATTTCAACACAACCACTTCTCCAAATTTCAAAGTGACAAAACCCAATGCGATCAAATTCCCCATGGTACTGACACAATAGGTAAATTCCAAACTTGCAAAAACGCAGGTAAAAGTATCAATAATCAAAATCATGTTTTCCAAACACAAGCTGGACGCAGCACGCATCGACTTCCACAATTCTTTCCCCCCAACTAGACGCAGCAAAACATGTGAACGCATTGACTTTCCAAGTGGAGAGTATCTCTTCTTGTAAAAACATGTAAAAACCTATCGTTTCTCAGTTTTGGGAGTTACGTTTGTTTCCAGGAGTGTATATACCAATTTAACATAGTGATTTCCATAACTATGTCAGTTTACCAGAGCGTAAACACCCAAATTCCGGGCTCTTCACACCTACCCACAGCACCAAATCGACCAAGCGGCAAATTGCCTTGAGTTTGCTGAGCTGCGATGCCTCCATTGCCAGCTATCTGGCCACCAAAGTCCCTGAGAACAGCTGCTTTTTGTTTGAGAAATCAGGCACAGAGAATCAAACCTGATGTGTCCGGTTAAAGACACACGTTTCCCGAAAAAAAAACATGTTGATTGCAAGTGGCTGCTGTGTCTTTCCTACCAGGTTTTAATTACCAGCTGCGACTAAAAAATGATTTGCGCTAAAATTGTTCATCCAAATGTATGCAAATATATGAGTGTTTTCTTACCAGAAAATGTATGACAACAGAACGTGGTGACTGTAGCATCAAAGCAAAGTCAATTGTCATTTCGAACGCCCAATATTGGTTGAATATTGGCGTCCAGGAAATTGGACGAAACCAGCAGCAGTTCCAACTTCCACATCTCACCCGAAGAAACAGGTGGACTTATAGGGGACCAAACAGGGGGATGGGTTTATCAAGCGGCTTTACCACCCAAAAAGTTGAAAAATGATGAAAGCTATTCAAACGGCTAGGCTTGGATACCCTGCATATTCCTCAGCATGTTTTGATTGGGGGCATCAAGAAGCAATATATATATATATACATATATATATATATATTTGTTTGAAGCAATATTCTGACCCAGGTGTGCCCACCAATATAGAAACCGAAGAACACCGCAATTTCATCAACAAGGCTCACAGGGGCCCGTCGCGTAGCGATCATTCTCACATCTAACCAGTGCCATGGCGCCAGCATCAAGGAGTACACCAAGATGACGTCACTTTTTGTACCCCAAAGTTCCCCAAGTTGGTTCATCAATAGGCGAGCTAACGGTTTTTTTGGGGGGCTATCTATAGTTGGAACTATATCATTGGGTCTGTAAACCAACCACACCCGGTCACAAAAATCATCAGTTTCTTGAATTTTGCGACCCCAAATCCATCAAACTTGAACAGTTTCAGTGTGAAGCGAATAATCTATGGCCCACCATAGGCACTCTGCATTTTTTTAGCTGATCAATCACTGTTTTAAACTACCTATCGAAGGTTCCACACTTATCACTACTTCAAACTGGATGCTTTCTCCTTAAGGCGTGGGTTGGAGCAGGCAAACTGGGAACCTAATTGGGAACACCAAAGGTGGGACTTTTATCAACAACAATGGATGGGAACCATTGTTCGTTGAAGGACCTTGAGATTGGGTTGCAGAGCAGCACATTTGCAGCAGGGATGTAGCGGCTGTATCGACAGCATAGACACATGGAGGACGTGCCGAGAATCCATGTTTGGATGGCTGGTTTCAAGCCAGCTCAAGGTTTCAGTGTCATTTGCACGACTCACACTGAAATCGGAAAACATGCCCCAACCAGCAAACACCTAAGATAAAGCAAACTAATAATCACAATACTTGCTGATATCTAAAACCATATATCATATACTTGAACTACCTATTCCGGATCTTGAATCATTGCAACCCCTCAACCTGCGCTGCAGCACCTTTTAGTGCCACAAAACTCTACGGCAAATCTCAGTTGGCTGCTGGAAAGTCCCTCCAGTTCCACCAACAATCTTGTGGCCTGAGGACCAACCAACAACCAGCACCCACAAGGGGCCCTCAATCTCGGGCTAAGTTGGTTGAACATCATTGATCTATGTACTATGTACACACACGTCACAAATATTTATGTATAGTATAAAAATATAAATATATTGAGTTAGGTTTTTTATAATTCGGATCTATTCGGATTATATAGTAGGTGTATATAGATTGGCTCCTCTAAGGGTGATGGTAGATAAACCCATACAATAGATTGGGCTATAAACCAACTCAGAACCAGGAAAGTAAACCAACAAACATAGCTGAGGGGCCCCTTGCTGCAACTGCTTGCTGATTTCAACCCTTTGGGAAAAAAACATTAACGTCAGTCAAATCCTAAGGTAAGGATGGACATTGGCAACAATTCAAAAAGGAAGCACCAAAAAATGGGAGATTGGGAGAGATGTACAACAATTAAGTTGTATACCGAATCCGATTCAACCGTATTGACAATGTATTGACAACAAAGAGCAGAGATGAAAACAGGGAAACTTTAGGGTACTACCTTCAGCAGCTCTGAGAAGTGTCCAGCACTCTCAACGGTACTGTTGTGTGAATGACGGGTTGCTCCATCAATAAGGTTTCATCTACTACATCTACCTAAACCCTCAACCCTTCAACGTTAACAATCTTCAACAACACATATTCAATAAATATCATATTATATAATTGATGCCTGCTTGTCGCTTGTGTCTGTTTTAGACTGGTGGGTACTCTGAGGAAAAAGGTCCTTTCTTGATATATCTTTTGGCTTCCGGATGGATGCGGTGGTTATGTTTTTTCTCATCTGAGGTCTCTTCATCTCCGTTCCAGGCACCACTGAAAAAATGATATTTGCACGAAACATCACCCTTTGGAAGGGGGTCAACCCCAAGAAAATAGACCACAAAACACTAAACTCCTACTAAGCAAGTGGTATCTGCTTTCATCTGGGGCTGCTATAATTTTCTGGGACCAGAAAGTGATCTTTGACCCCCCAAACAGGTGACAATGCCCTGCTTGAGTGGCATAATCCAGTTGTCCTGCCAGACTTGTCGAGCTCACTGCAGTGCAGTAATTCAGGGCCATGATCCTTGGTCAATACATTGCGTTGTGCTATGCCAGCTGTGTTTGTGCCCAGCATGTGCCCGGTATCAAAAAGTGATGTTTAATGTTTTTGTTTTGTGCAGGCTGCATTTCACCATTTCACCCTACCAGAATGAGATCAGAATGATAACAAAAAAGAGTGTCCCTTGTCATGCTTGTGATCATGCTAATGGAAATGGGCACACTGTGGTTGTCTTTTTTTCAAACCCATTTGGGGTGACGGTATATAATATACCAACCGCCAACACGAGGGAACCAACAAGAAATCATGAAAACGACTACCAAACACCTGCCCCAGAACGGTTACAGTAAATGGATGGGACACGGAAGGGGAGATTGTGCACCACTTGAGTACTTCTACGGGTTCCAAGTTATCCTTACAATAAAGCTATAGTAGTAAAGTGATGTAAAGTTTATATAGATGTACTAAAGAGTATGCACCCAGTTGGAATTTAACATATTTTGGGGTTGGGCCAGATTTGGTCCAATACTTCACGAAGTCATACTTGCACACCAACATTGTTAATCATGTTTCCTTACATTTGTTCTACATATAGTTCAGATTTGGTTCACCCTCTGGTAAACTAACATAACTATGGAAAATCACCATGTTTAATGGGTATATCCACTATTTCTATGGCTATTTTCAATAGCAAACTGTTAGTTTACCAGAGGGTACACACCGTTTAAGAACTGTTGAATCACCGTTGAGTCTTATCCTTCCATGGCTCCCCAGTTCGGCAACATGCATCAAAAAGGCAACAGCTGGACTTTTTTCCCCTCCTAGGCTCGAAGATCCTAAGGGAAAGCTCCAAAAAAGATACTGTAATGGTTAATGACCAGTGGTTAATGATGGTTAATGATGGTTATTATATGGTTAATGACCAGTGGTTAATGATGGTTAATAGTGCTATCCATATTGTGGTTAGTGACCCAAAAAATAGTTTCCATGTAATAGATTATAAGCTGGTTGGTGGTTGACCTACCCCTCTGAAAAATGATGGGGTGAGTAACAGCTGGGATGATGACATTCCCAATATGATGGGAAAATCATAAAGTCCATGTTTCAACCACCAACCAGATTAATATGGCCAATATATCTAGATATTCAGGGGCGATTTCCACAGCTATGTTGGATGCACCAAGGCACGTGGGGTTTTCTTCGCAGCAGGCGACAAGCAGCAGCTCCAGCACGTGTTTCCAGCTGTGGGACATGGAACTCAACAAGGCACCTAGGTGGCGCTAGGCTTCGAATCCACCACTTGGGATGAACTTGGTCCAAGTTAAACTGGCATTCCACCAGTGAAACTGAAATCAGTGAACCATCTTGGAATTCCCAACCATCTGAAATGATTACTGTAATGATGATGTACGGCACATTTTATGTAAGGCAAAATACGTATGACTGAAAAAAAATCTTGCCTGAAAGGACCATTGATCATTGAACCACAGGAATGGGTCAATACAAAGTCCAAGTCAGGTTCCAAACATACGCCCCTGACCTGCAGGTGCCGAACCACACGAGTCATAAAAAGCAATAATATATATATATATATACATAGATAGATAAATAGATAGATAGATAGAGAAAGAGAGAGAGAGATGGATGGATGGATGGATGGATGGATAGATAGATAGATAGATAGATAGTTTTTTTTGTCCATGTGCATCTTTATTTTAGTTATTTATTTGCATAATATGTATGTATATGTAATATGTATATATATATATTAATTTTACCGGTTAATTGCCTGTATGTATATAAACAAAACATACATATATATCCAGAATCTCATAGGGACTTACAAAAGGAGGCCTCTGGACAAAGGCCTTAATTTGGTACAAAGGTCTTAAATCTATATAGCCCCAAAAGCTATCATATACCTATCAAACCAACACTTAATGATTGTTTCAATAAGTTCCAATATTGTTCCAATAGGGCCCCGCTGGTAATGGTCTAATTGATCTATGTATATTTCCACTACACCAGGTCTTACGCACTGTCGATCATACATGTATATCCAGCACAACCAAAAAATGACATGTTTGTTGGGGATCCCCTTCCACGCTTTATTTATGGGCCTTTCCATGCTTTTTGTTTGGCCTTTTCACTGCATTTGAAGGCTTTTCCACGGTTGTTCCACGGCTAACTTTGGGGGGGGGTCGAATACTTACCTACCTGTTTTCTTCTCGGAAAGTCACGAAATAGCCAAAAAACATAATTCTGACTTTGCAATTTTGTCCATCGATAAATCTTGGTTTTCTATTCTATATAAGTCTATATATCGTATCATATTGAAATCAAGAAACGCCTAAGAACATCTCTTGATGAAACCTTTGGGCCATCATGGCCACTGGAGGCAAGCATTTTGGCAAGATTATAGAGGGATCCGTCTCAAACAAGGTCGAGGCCTTACAAAAGGATGCCTCCGACTCCGACGCACAGGTACACATATACAATCATATACACATATATATATATATATATTTATAATTATATATATATATCACACTGGAAAGGTTTCCACGTTGGGTTTCCACAATCTCACCAAATTACCATCCCTTCTCCCGCAGAACATTGCAGTTGTGGGGTTACCGTATACCATGGTATATCCAAATCTTTTTCAAAAATCCAGCATCTATGACTCATCTCTTGAATCCCAATGCTATTTTTACATCATATGCATAATAGATATTCAAGTTATCATAGGCAACATAGTAAACCATCATAAGTAACATATGTTCATAAACCCCTATAATATTTTTTGAATCCCAATAGTATTTTATCATAATCATCTCTTAAACCCATGCTAATGATCCACATCACCCAATTCCCCGGATCCACCCTGGCCGCGGGCACTGGTCGTCAAAACGCTGGGTTGCAGCCGTTGTAGAGGCATCTCACCTGAAAGGGTGCTATGACAAGGGGTTTCACCATGACTTGGGGAAGTTCATGGCTAAGTTGATGGAAGTTATAACTCCCATATCCTGGGATATCCTGGGTGGATTACGTGGATATTTAAACGTATATACTTAGTGGTGATTAGAAACCAACTTAAAAAGGGGTGGCACTTCCCTGTACAGTAGCATATAATATACTTATGTGTTTTAGTTCTGTAATTATTAGTGTGTGGGTGTTATTATGTGTTATTTGTTCAAATGTTTTGGTAACCCATTGAAGAATATTGAACGACCATTGCACATCATTTTTTTTATCATTATTGACGTGTTTGTTTTACCTGCATTTGATCATTTGTATGATATATATATATATATACATATATATATGTAAAACTGGTTGGTGGTTTTAATCATCTTGAAAAATATTAGTCAATGGGAAGGATTATGCCATATATTATGGGAAAAATGTTTGAAACCACCAACCAGAAATGATTGGCTTGCTCGTCGTTATGACATATACTGTTGACCATCCAACTATGAGAGGCACAGGACAGCCTCATCCATCTCTCTAGTTATCAGTCTAAGTCTATTGAAGAATCTTCATCCAGCAAGCCCTTCATCTCACCATAGCATCTCCCAAATGCCAAACACTTTCTATAAACAAAAAACACGCCAGCATATGTGCGATTTCACAAGTAATTACAAATGTGCAATTGTAATTTTTCCATGAGAATGAAAGCGCGAAAGCTGCAAAGGGAGCACCAGCAAACTGACAAAATTACTCCATGAACAATAGTTTCCCTCTCAGTCGTTGAAGATGCTGGAGAATCAGATTCCAAGTTGTGAAAGGATACGCGTGTCAATGTCATACGCAAATGTGCAATTGTATATGACCGTATATGGAAATAATTCTACATAAATGCTGATCTTCAACGGCCACAATTTGCCCGATTACATACGTTGCTGGACAATACTGGCAAATGACTATGGTTCGCTTTAACCCCCAAACAAAAAAACAACACATCCGCCATTTTTTTGGACAAGTCCTTCCCTGAAAATCATAAGTTCAAGGGTTTTGAAGTCGCGAAAATCTGCCCTTTGCATCCCGTTAGACCAAGGGGCTCCAATAGAGATCTGATACCATCTGCCAGGTGCCGCGATTCCCGGCAGTGCTGATGATGCTACTGCCTGGTGGCTTCGCCAAGATATTCTGCTCCTGTTCTTGGGACTGGAAACTATAGTCAAATAGCGGTGTTCATGTGTGCAAGCCGTTTTGTGTTGCAGTGGTGTTGTGATCTCATCCAGCATTTCAGAAGGATTGCAGTATATCTGTTGATTTACTGAGGTGTACTGTATATAGGGCAAAGGGATTTGTCCTGGGCGCCCATTTTTGCTGGGCATTTCATTCAGCTATTCGTGGCAAACAACTCATGCTTTACCTTCCCAACCCAGGTTGAACTGGTTCTCCAAGCAGAAAACCACGATAAATCAGCATAGCTAGCAAGTGATCCGCCTCAAACATCTTTCAGCAACTCACAACCATCCTTTTTGATGTATTCTCTGGGTCTTGCCTACCCATTTTGAAGGCACAAAAAGTTAGCAGCATGAGTTGGTGCATTGGTCTTAGTGTGGAGCTTCACAGTTCAATGCCGGTCGTGGGCGATGGATCGCCGCTCTTGAACATGACAGTCCCCACAAAAGAAGTCACCTTCTGACTTGGAGTTAACCATAACTTACTTATGCATATATCTATACATTTTGCCATATTCAATAAACATCTACAACTAAATAATGGAACGAGGACGTACCACGGTGACTCCATCTTGCTTCAAATGCTGTTTAACCATGTTTGGCCCCGTCCCTTGGCTCGGCGGTGTAAAACACTGCCGAGTCGCATGTGATGACATTGGCTGCACCGCTTCTCTGCACTTCTGGCAGCATCATGAGGCCTAAACCTCGACTTGGCCAAGGATAAACCTACCAATCATTACCAATCGGTGGTTGATAATAACATACAATTACCACCCATTGATTTATAAATATGTGGGGTGGTTTATGACTGCGTTTATCACATGATATAAGTTCAACATAAACGTAAACATCATTTACTATCATTTGCCATCATTTGCCGTATATGATTGGCCATGTTCACCTTATATCTAAAACCACAAAAGTACCCCAGCACCCTGCTGTTAACCAAAAGCCTCATCAAGGTCCCAACGCCTCACCGAGTCACGCCAACGAGTCTCACAAGCGCTGATCAACGCATTGAAGGTGATCAGGCTTGGGCACAGCTGGCCTCAACACCCCACACCAGCTGACCGGAGAAACAAAGATGGAAGCCTTACAAAGCACCAGAAACAAAGACTATTGGAGAAAAAAACATCTGGGGATTCCAGGTATGTGAGTCTTCATGTCTCAAACATTTTATTGTTGACATTTTGTTGGGTAGGTTTCACATCTCTCTCCCCGTTGCCAAGTGGCGCTGGGCCGCAGCAGCCAAAAGTCCCACGGCACGGGACCATTTCTCGCTCTTCTTGCACGAATTCATGGCCGAATTGAAGGTGATAATGTCGGGCGACGCTCCTTTAAGATGAGACGGGTCAGCTGGATGTTGAGGTAATTAGTAGCTTGTGAAAGCATAATATATATATATGTGTGTGTGTATACGTATACACAATACCACATAATACCACTGAACCAGTGTAAAAAAAAGAGTTCTGACTGGTTGCTGACCTGGCACCAAGATCCGAGCATGCTACCGTGGCATGGCTCAAACTCATGGAATCATGCTGCCGTGGCAATAGCATTCCAGCTTCAGACTCCACGGCTTCCTTTTTGAATCGGAAAATTATCCAGGCAAATCCCTGTAATTCCATATAAACTCCATGTATTGGTCGGTTAAAGCCCAATATTGGTTGGCAACCCTTCTTTTGGGCCCACACGTGTACCCTGCAGGCGCTGCTGTCCGTGTCTCTCCAGACACATCATCACCTCCAAAGCCAAATCCCAACGCCCCTCACCGCCCTCAGCAGCATGGATCGAAAACCGCCTTTTCACCACCTTCAGATAGGTTAAGTGGGTATTGGTGGGTTAGTTATTAGTGGGTATTATATAATGGGTATTAATCATGAGCTAATTGAACCTAATTAGTTGGTATTAGTGGGTATGGCGGCATCGGCGGCATCCCTAGTATAGGATACCTTTTCGAGGTTACTATGGGTCCTATGTCCCTAAAATTGTTTTATATCCTTTTACGGTGCAGTTTATCACCAAAACATGATTCGTTAATGAAATCGAATTGGTCACATACACTATTGTCGAACAATATGGTACCACTACTCACTGTATTGGTCAGTCCAAAGCGACTAATTTCTTGACACCATGTTTCATATACTGAAGAGAGACAAGCTGGAAATAACCATCATAAAAAATGTAATTACAGTAACTTGGCTGGATTCTTTTTTGATACCTCAAACACAATCACAATCAATGACACACATGGCTGTCTGAAAATTGGGTACCAAAAAACATGATGTTCTGATGGACATTGTATTATTTTGCGGTATCTCTCCTTCATTTTCAGACAGACCCACATCATCGGTTCATGGGTTATTTTCCTATGTTAGCAACCCCGTCAGCCTATATATTCAACATTGTTAAATACTACCCGCTGGGAGAAACCCGGGTCTAGTACATATATTTGATCTATCCCTTTAGCCACACATCATCAGACCTGTAACTTCCATACCTTTTAAGGTCCTAGGGATCCAAAAAGTACAAAAGATTCATTGTGCGGTCCCATATGGCGGAGGATTCAATACCTTGGGGGAATGGGATTGCATCATCTCATATCCACAACTCATCTTATGGTCATATCCCCACTTTATATCACTTTATCATATATCCCCATAGAAAAGCACTTTCTGCCAGCAAACCTAAGAATTTAAGTCTCACCCAACACCGTCCAAGTCTTCCGTCCCAGTCGTGCAAGTTTCTGTGGCCGCTGCCGCAGCATTGAAAGACACCAGGAGCAACGAAAGATCTGGTGCTCCGCCAATCATCCCAGTGGAACCCTGGTCCAAAATAAAGCCTCAAAGACATAGAATAGCTGGAGAAATGAGTCAGTTTACCCTCAGGTGTTCGATTTAACATGGCTGGCTGCAAAATCCCCGAACTAAATGGACATGTACAGCTGGCAAAATCATCGAACTAAATTAAATGGTGGACTTTCCAGCCAGCCATTTCTGATTACCAGAGGGTAAAGCCACCCATAAATGGGGGAGCAAGTAATGAGAATGGGATATACGGTATACGTAATGAGGATATAAAGAAGGCCAAATGAGTAATGAAGCCACTTGGAACCAGGTGGTACCATCTTGAATGGCAGGAGTGCAGGAGGCTGTTTGATTATGTACATCCTGTACACTGGAGCATGATAAGTAATGATTGGTAATTGATATACATATGTATATTATATATATGTGGTATATATATATATGCATTAACAATCCTCTCAACTACTATCCCCAGACCCTAGGAAAATCATTGTAGACCCTGGATCTAGGGTCTGAAGTGGGGTCTGGGATGATAATCCCTAGGTGATTCCAGAAATATAACGGAACCATGCTAGACCTTACCTAGGGGTCCGGGAACTTGCACATAACACAGCTATGATCCTGGAAGGCTCAGAGAGGTAACTTCACTTTAGACCCCTGGTTCCTTCAAACAGCTCCCGGCATCTCCGGCAGTAAGCCTAACAAGACGCATCCTTCCAGGTATTTTGGGGTTGGATGTGTATGTAATGTGTCCCAATATGTTTTTCCTATCTTTTCCTCATCTTCATGGGTCTGAAATGGTTTGCCTGATCCTGAAACCATAAATATTCACCACAAATGCTATGGGAACATCATTTCAGACCCATCAAGATGGACCATTCCCAACTATACAGAGGAGAAACCATCACCATCAAGAAATCAATGATATGTGTTGATACCAATGGGTATTTGATTTGGAATCATTTCCACCTTCGAGGTATTTTGGGGTTGGATGTGTATGTAATGTGACTCGATATGTTTTCCTATGTTTTCCTCATCTTCATGGGTCTGACATGGTTTACCACATCCTGAAACCATAAATATTCACCACAAATTCTGTGGGAACATCATTTCAGACCCATCAAGATGGAACCATTCCCAACTATACCGAGGAGAAACCATCACCATCAACAAAGGTATCAATGATATGTGTTGATACCAATGGGTATTTGATTTGGAAGCATTTCCACCTTCGAGGTATTTTGGGGTTGGATGTGTATGTAATGTGACCCGATATGTTTTTCCTATTTGTTTCCTCATCTTCATGGGTCTGAAATGGTTTACCACATCCTGAAACCATAAAAATTCGTTTATCGCAACCATCCATCAAATATGTTATTCGTTTATTGGTGCGATTATGCACCATTATGAACCATTACAATCCATTACATAAAAAATAACATCGCCATTTTACCATCATCTTGTGACAACAAGATTGCGCCTTATGTCTCCACTGGTTGTGGTTGATTGATGTTGGTTGTGGTTGCTTGGTATGCGTTTGGCAACCTTTATTAAGGTTCCAAGGATGCAAAGGGTCTAGGATGAAGTTCCCTATGCAAAAGCCAAAAGGTCTAGAATGGGTTTCCCTCATGATAGCAAGGGTCTAACATGGTAGGAGGCAAAAGGTCTACAATGATTTTCAGACCATCTTAGACCTTCCATATTGGGAGCCCTAGGCAAACCATCTTAGACCCTCTAGTAGTTGAGGGTATCATTAACATATATATATATATTAACATAATATTGTGAATATATTGTGGTTATTGGAAAACTGGAATTCATTGCCTGACAGATGCTGATGTCAGGTCTATGTAAGAGGTGAAGGAATAGCAACACCAGTTGTGTCCTAAAAGGTGCCCAAGGAACGAACAATGAACGAAACATGACCGCAATTCAATAAGCTTGTGAATGGCAGGGGCTCATCCCAGCAACAGTGTTGGAGAAAAAAACAGCTGACCATACATTGCTGTGAACCTAGGATATTTCATGTATTTACCGAGGTGCTACCCTAGAGCCAGCGGACCAGAACCATGAATGCGACCGACAACAACTACCAATCACCAATCACATTCCTTGCGCATCCAGGCTACTAAAAGCTCTCCTCCACTTCAAGGATTTTTCAATGGCAACGTTGGCTTCATTCATCGCCTTGCTTTTGCACATCGTTTGGGAGGCCAGCCAAACAGAACCAAGCAGATGTGCAGAAGCAATCGGTACTTCAATATACTTAAGTCAAGAATGACTCCATTGAATCCAGAAGATGATTTCCGATCAAAAAAATAGCATTCCAAAACAGCAGCATCGAGTCCAGTCGCCTGTCACATTCACTGACAACAGGCCTGTTTTTTTTCTTGAAGCATGGTGACATGATGTCTCGTTCAAACATCACTATTGCCTGATATTGCCTGTCACCTGTATAAATTTTGGGTAAACATGAAAATACATGAACATACTATATCTCATACGACCAGTAAGTAGACCACGTTTCTATTTACCAACTGAATCGCTTACGGTTTGCACCCACAAATGCTCCAATCCCTGGAATCCTTGGTGAATTTCTTCAGCCTCCATCTGGGGAACATCCACTGGGCCAGGCCCCCGGGAACAAGTTGCAACCACATCTGCCCGAAGGCTCTGATGGATGTGTGTGGCCAGAATGTCGAGGCTCACTTGCCAGCCCACATCGGAGATGGCACCTGCCGGAATCCCCCCATACATGAAATTGTTACATTGGGGAAATCAAAACATCATCAAGGGATTTGCCATTGCAATCTTTGATTACCAACAGGTAAGCGTAGATATACATGAACCGTTGTCAATTGTAGCACACCAGTAGTAGAATGTTCCGGAATGTGCAAAGCAAAGGGCATTGAGAAATGCATTTCATTTGTACACCCTGGCAATCACACCTAGCTTCCTCCAAAAACATCAATGTAGTTTCTAGACTTTCTAAGCTACAAAGAGAGTTTACACTTAAAGGTACTGTAGTTTAAGGAGTCCAATCTATTCCATGATATCCCCAACATATCCCTTAAAAATGGTTGGTTTCATCACCCCAAATACTGTATAATAAATCTTTGAACGGCTACCAGCAAAACAGGTCCACCAGCCTAGCAACGAGTTGGCTGCAATGGCATCCAAACGCAACTGCTTCCTGATGCTAGTCAGTCATGAAGCAGTCGCTGGATTGTGGATATTGTGGAATGAACATGGAAATAAAGTCGAAGCCCCTTTAATGTTTGGTGCCGTCAACCCCCTTCAGAAAGGAAAACTTTCAGTGTCAAAAAAACGAATTAAACATCTTTAATTGTCTACTATTTTCCTCTTGTTATTTAGCAGATCGAAATGACAACTTACCATGAACAATGATGTACCTGTTGTATAAAACACTATGTTTCCTAATTTCGCAATACCGCATTTCCCCAGTAGTTAAATCCCAGTTTTGGGATGGCCGAACTACATTTCACAAAGTCGAGTCGAGTTTCTGTTGCAAAACCAACACCAAAGCCATCGCTGTTGACCAGCCCCTGGTAAAGCTGAAGGGTTAAAACCTGGCGCCTGTCTGCACATCATCTGTCTGAATAACACCAAAAAGATCACCCTTTTTTTATCTCAATGGGACATTCATTGTTTTGAGTACCAAATTCTGCTATTTCAATGGGACATGCATCGTTTGAAGCATCAAATTGTATCAAATTATGCTGTTTCAATGGGGCAATCATCGTTTTAAAATACCAACTCCTGCTAGTAGCTACTAGCGATGGTAGTAGTATTTAACTGGGACGATCATCGTTTGAAGTATCAAACTATGCTATTCCAATGGGACAATCATTGTTGAAGTATTCAATGGGATAATCATTGTTTAAAGAACCAACTCCTGGTATCTTTTAAATAGGACAATCATCATTTGAAGTACGCACTTCAGCTATTTCAATGAGGTAATCATAGCTTAACGTATTGAACAACAACATAAACATGAGGTATATAAATCATCAAATTATCTTTCACATGGGTATGCTTGCAGGAAAACTTCCATCAGCAGTGTGTGTGCATTGGGGTCGAGTCAGCACTTGCAGTACCCAAGAGTGGCATGGTTTACTGCCTTAAAAAATGCGATATGCTCGTTATCTCAACCAATCATGCCTGTTGTATATACTGTAGTTGAAAAATGAGAAATATTTGAAACCCCCAACAGTGTTTACTATGTCAAAGGGCAAATCCCACAACCATGCCGCATCTCACTCGGAAAATTTCACCTCGTAGAGTTCTCTTCTTCATCGCCCATCAATGAGCTGTAGGAAATCCTCGCCCATCGGCGAGAAGATCATTATAGGAAACTGCCATCGAGATACTGCACTGAAAGAGGCATCCTCCAATAAACCAACATAGCTATGGAAAACCACGGTTTTATGATGTTGTAAAATGGTTTATAGGTAAATCCTCTTTTCCATGGGTCATGGAGTCATGTTCATTCATTTTCCATAGCATACCATCCCATCCCTCCATGGTAAAGGTTTACCAACCTTTGGATGGTGACTTAAGTGATACCCTCTGGTTATGACTAACATAGCCATGGAAAATCCATTATAAATGGAAGTTTATAGCTGGGAAAATCATCTATAAATGGGCCATTTTCATCCTCTCAAGTTGCTTCGAACCCCCTTGGGGACCATTTTAGAACCCAAATATGGGTTCTAAAATGGAATCTACAAGGGGGGTCTTAGAACCTAAAATTCTTGGCCGCTATTCCGTTTTTGGGTTCTAAAATGGGTTCTGAAATGGTATCTTCCACCCTTTAAAAAATCATTAAAACATATTTTAAAAAATCCTTGTTGAAACCATCGCGTTTCAGGAAAAAACGATGAGGAAATCTGCGCCCCCAAAAAATAGATCAACATGAGGCGAATCAAAAAAAAGCTGCAAAGAGCACTCCATGATACTCCGCAACATTTTTCAATGGGTGACGGCCCGGCCACAGATGGTCGTATCATTTACTACCTATGGAGCCAGGTTTTTGCCCGCGCTCTTTGCTTCCTTTCTTGCCAAACCATTAAAGTACACCCAAACCCAAATGCTTTCAGAATGTCCCCTAAGTCACCCCTTTTCAAACGAATTTAGTTGTGGATTCGTTCCATTTCCCGTGCGACTGCTTGTTTCATTTTATGCAGACATGTCCAACCAGATAAATTTTCAATAAAACAACAAATTCCTACATGCAGTGTTTTCAAAACAATAGTGTTTTTTGCGTCAAAGGAGAAAAACAAGGAACAAATCATCACATGCGGAATCAGCAAGCAGGTGTGTGTCGAACTACAGCTGTCCAGTTGTCACTTAAAAAATGGTAAGTTTGCCTACCTTCATCAGGACGCCGCTGATTGGACATTTGTTCTTTTGGGATATTTGGGGGGGCTGGGCAGCTATGACACAGAGATGTCACCCTAGACAATGCACCTTGAGGATTTATCTTTGGGAAGGGTTCTGGAATGGTTTCCTCTTTGGCCAAATGTGTGAAATACCGGCTACTGCAAGGGGAAACCATTTTAGAACATTTGCATGCTTAGATAATTTTCATTTGTTCATTTGTTGCACAGGCATTCATCTACTTGTAGAAGAACAAAAGATGGCAGAAACAGTTTTAGCTGACTTGATTATCACTGAAATTCATTAGCATTGGGTTGTACCTGCCTACGTACCCCTGGAGGTATTTATCTTTGGGAAGGGTTCTGGAATGGTTTCCTGCTTGGCCAAACGTGTGAAATACCAGCTACTGCAAGGGGAAACCATTTTAGAACATTTGCATGCTTAGGTAACTTTCATTTGTTCATTTGTTGCACAGGCATTCGTCTACTTGTAGAAGAACAAAAGATGGCAGAACCTGTTTTAGCTGACTTGATTATCACTGAAATTCGTTAGCATTGGGTTGTACCTGCCTACCTACCCCTGGAGGTATTTATGTTTGGGAAGGGTTCTGGAATGGTTTCCTGCTTGGCCAAGCGTGTGAAATACCAGCTACTGCAAGGGGAAACCATTTTAGAACTGTTGTATGCTTAGGTAACTTTCATTTGTTCATTTGTTGCACAGGCATTCGTCTACTTGTAGAAGAATAAAAGATGGCAGAAACAGTTTTAGCTGACTTGATTATCACTGAAATTCATTAGCATTGGGTTGTACCTGCCTACCTACCCCTGGAGGTATTTATGTTTGGGAAGGGTTCTGGAATGGTTTCCTGCTTGGCCAAACGTGTGAAATACCAGCTACTGCAAGGGGAAACCATTTTAGAACATTTGCATGCTTAGGTAACTTTCATTTGTTCATTTGTTGCACAGGCATTCGTCTACTTGTTGACAAACAAAAGATGGCAGAAACAATTTTAGCTGACTTGATTATCACTGAAATTCATTAGCATTGGGTTGTACCTGCCTACCTACCCCTGGAGGTATTTATCTTTGGGAAGGGTTCTGGAATGGTTTCCTGCTTGGCCAAACGTGTGAAATACCAGCTACTGCAAGGGGAAACCATTTTAGAACATTTGCATGCTTAGGTAGCTTTCATTTGTTCATTTGTTGCACAGGCACTGGTCTACTTGTAGAAGAACAGAAGATTGCAGAACCAGTTTTTAGCTGATTTGATTATCACTGAAATTCATTGGCATTGGGTTGTACCTGCCTACCTACCCCTGGAGGTATTTATCTTTGGGAAGGGTTCTGGAATGGTTTCCTGCTTGGCCAAACGTGTGAAATACCAGCTACTGCAAGGGGAAACCATTTTAGAACATTTGCATGCTTAGGTAACTTTCATTTGTTCATTTGTTGCACAGGCACTGGTCTACTTGTAGAAGAACAGAAGGTGGCAGAAACAGTTTTTAACTAACTTGATTATCACTGAAATTCATTGGCATTGGGTTGTACCTGCCTACGTACCCCTGGAGGTATTTATCTTTGGGAAGGGTTCTGGAATGGTTTCCTGCTTGGCCAAACGTGTGAAATACCAGCTACTGCAAGGGGAAACCATTTTAGAATTGTTGTATGCTTAGATAGCTTAGATAGCTTAGATAGCTTAGATATGTTCATTTGTTGCACAGGCATTCGTCTACTTGTAGAAGAACAAAAGATGACAGGCACAGTTTTAGCTGACTTGATTTTCCCTGAAATTCGTTTGTGTGTGTCACTACAGCTGTTTCCAGTGGGGAATTTTTCTACCTACCAATTTGCCGCTCACTTCACCTATTGGCCCTTTCGTTCAGAGATGTGGAGCTAGACAATATTTGGCCCACGCCTTTTCGGAATTAAATCAAAAGAACAGCCCAAATGCATGCAAATCTCTAGCAAATGCACGTACATTTTCGACGCGGGATTTTGCAGCCTCTTGTGACACAACATGCAAAAGCCACTTTATGTGTGCCTCAGGTGACGGCAAAAGAAGCAAACATGCAAAAAATAAACCCAAAAAACCATGCATTGTTGGGGTGAATGCAAAGGTAAAGGTACAGCTAACAACTTCAAAACTGAGCTGAACCCACAAGTTCCCCCAGTCAGAAATGTTCTTACCATGTACTGAGATCAAGAAACAAACTGAACTGTGATTTTGTTAATTTGTCTACCATTAAAAAGTATATAATCCTTCTGGGTTTTTGTGCCAAATGGCATTGGTTCGGCAATATTGTTGCGACGTAGTGCAATCGAGCCTTGCAAATCACCAAAACCACAGTTTCAACAGGAGGATCAAACTGGCAAATGGCTTTCAACCACCGGCTCACTAGGGATCACAAATACCTGCACAAAACCTGCACCATAGATCATCATATGCTATTATAGAAGCTTCCAGGGTTCTACAATGCTTACGGGACCGGGGGTTCTACAATGATTTTTTTTCATTCTAGAACCCTCCGTGTTTATCCCCAGGGGGGTGGGGGGGCATTCTAGAACCTTCCAACTTGAGGGTATCCATTTTCCATAGCTATGTTAAATAACCAAAGGGTATATCATGATATATATAATGTAAGGAAACAAGGCAAATGCAGTGGCATGATATATCATGATATATCATGATATGCGAGATGAAAAGGGCAAAATTTTCCAACCAATTAATTACTGCACATAAGGTTGTCGAATAAACCACTGCATGTTTCAAGATTTATGAGACGCATATAATGCCGCAGATACAACAAAAAAACAAAATGTGCCAATGCAGAATAGGTAGAAACAAATCAGATACCGTGAGGCAAACAAACATATCCGTGCGATTCCTTAGCTGCTGTATATACTGTACAAATCATTCTTCGCACAGACCACACGCATATACTGGGCATATCACCGACTGCTGGCTTAAACATACATGACTGCAGAGCATCCCCAAGCACCACTCCAAAAGATGTGAAAGTTGAATCCGTCTGGAATCATGGTACATATAAATAGATGTAAATAGCGCTTCTATGTTCCTGGGAGGCTACTATTCACGCTTTTGGCTGCCTATTCCCATCCCATCTACCCACTGGCACTTCGCCAAGCAACAAATCAGATCGGATTTGCAACAGCTGCCTTGGGTTCTCGTCGTAAGCATGGGACATGGGAGAATGGCAAGCACGATCAGAAATCGGGTCACCAAAAAGACTCAAAATTGTCATTTGAGTCGAGTACAGTCCAAAATTCTAGTACCACTCTGTTCACCTCAAAATCGCTGGCAAATCGACGTTCACCACTCCCGAATATGAATGATAGATGTAGGGTTTGAATGGGTTTGATTCATATCCATTTCAAAGAAAACTGGGGAAAACTGCACGATGGGCCTTGGGTTTTCGATGTTTTTCTCCAATCTCCGAGATGGCCTACTTCAACCAAATCCCCATATTTGGAGACCCATCCCACAGGTATAATACGGCCTTTTCACTGAAAATCATCCAAGTAAGATCAGGAAAAACTGGCCCCCAAATGGATAGAGAAGTCATTCCCAACTGTTTTGACACATTATACTCATGATACCATTCAATCCCATTATGATCCCATTATATAAAAAAAAACCAATCAAATTCATCACGTTGATAAATCCCATTATAATCTTATTCCATCCCATTCAATCCTATTAAAATCCCATCAAGTGATACCAGTAACATCCCATTGTGATCACCTCATGAAATCCCATGTGAATCCCATTAAAACCCCCATGAATTCCCATCCGTCTCCGTGTGCCATGGGACATCTCCTTCAGTGCCATCAACGCAGTGTCCCAGGCGGGTTGACAGATCTTCAGGATACCTTGGTGGCGCTGTGGATGGAAAATATCCGATAAACCACCAAAAGGATGGTTGAAACATGTTGAAACCCTATAAATCATGGGATGTTTAACATCAACTGGTGCAGGATTTCGCAACCATCCACGGTATGTTAGTGGTATTTATTGCTCATATATTAGCAGTATATTAGTGGGATTGAAGGGACAACCGTAGTTTGTTTTTTTGATTTCCAATCAAAGTTGTGTTCTCCCTTCTGAAGAAACACATCCTAACGATCGTATTAAACAGATTTAAACAATGGAAGAGTGGACGCGCTGAGGGCCCAACTCGTGAATTTACATGTCATTTCTCGACATGAAACCAACAACACAAGCAACGAAAGACTCAGTAAGTCTTCCATGATGCTGTTGAAGGTGATGGCATCACTCTCGATGCCCAGGCCTTTGGCTTTTCGCAAAAAGTTCAAAGCATCTTGCCAGGCGAGGGTTGACAGGAGGATGTTCTGACTTCCTGCAGCGTGAAAACCATGATGAAAAGCAAAGTTAACATCCTTCTTTTCCGGGTAGTTAATTATATGTATGTTAGTGTGGATACTCATCATGGCCATTTTATGCTTATACCACTATGCCGTTGTAAAAACCTTAGTGATCGTTACTGATGGCTGTTGATCTGTGTTCATACTTAGAAGCCTTAGAAACTCGACGATGGGGTGGGCTGTTGGAAGCTTGGGGATGGGGTTTAAAATGGGGGATGAGCCAAGATGTTTCTGGTTGGTGGTTGACCTACCCCTCTGAAAAATATGAGTTGGTCAGTTGGGATGATGACATTCCCAATGTATGGAACACAATAAAAATGTTCCAAACCACCATTTTGATCCCATTTTGACTCGCGCGTCACGTTAGAATCGAACGTGACCCGTCTTGGTAGTTCAGAGATGGCAAACCATCGATGGCCCGTGTCTGTCTGCGGAATGTTCGGCTTCCATGTTGTAGGAGCCACTCGTCAATCAGCAGTAGTCTCTCAGGAGGCCAAGGAACAGCCAGAGATCCTGTAAACATCAAAATCATGCTTGACGCCGGTTTGACATAACCAGCCTCCACTTCCACTTTCATGTGCCGCAGTGTCTCTTTTAATACCTTGGCGAACCACCTGGCACGTCGGCGGAATGCAAAATTGTAGAGGGTGAGCATGGGGATGTCCGCTCCATCCTGCCACCGCCCTGTATGCACAGGTCCTGGTCGACCAGTCGCCAACATGAAATCGATGTAAAGCTGAAAGTGTGAAACCCATGAAACAGGTGAAGTACTACCTGATAACGCATTCCAAAACCAGCTAGTGATATGCCTCACCAATGAATCCCCATACCAACGCAATGCGGCGGTAGGCAGCTGCAGCGTCGGCAGTTGGCGCCACACAGCTCCTGGCACCGGGCAGCAAGGTTCATGCAATGGCTCAATCAGTACTGGTGTGTCCTGTCTGAGCACCTCATGGCTGATGGCAAGTTGCACCTGCTGTACAGTGCGGTTAAGCTCATAAATCACTTCCACTGCAGAATGGTGACGGTAGTACAATTGCCAAAACTGAACATCTCTGGTGAAATTAGCACGGACAGCCTGGCGGTCAGCCACACTATTATGCCGAAAACACCATTCAGTGAAAAAATCATGCACGTCTTCAAGCTGCTGATGTGCAGCCACATATGCGACAAATGTAGGACCCTTCCGGTTTTGGACAGCAATTTGGATCTCAAGCCATAGATCAGCATGTGAACTGTTAGGGCGCACATCATGACCGGCCAAGATCCGGTTAAGCCGCCGAACCACACTGCTGCAGTCAGTCCACAAAAACAGTCTTCCTACATGTGTCTGAGCACACTGCAGCGCACGCAAGATCGCGAAAACCTCTGCACGAGCAGCACTTTGAAGTAAGCCTGGGAGAGGCCCAGCATCTAAAACTTGACTGCCGGTCAGGTCATGGGCACAGTCGCAAGTAGCTTGAACCACAGACCGGGCGGCAAAACGCCGCTTGATGTCATGTTGTGCGTGACAGCTACCATCTGTAAACAAAAACACATCCCCACTGAACCGGCATAGCGGCACTGCTGCAACCGGCAATGTCACAAAATACTGGTTCCACTCAGTCATGGTGGTCGGCATGAGGGACCATCCGGAGCAAGTCAGGACCTCAGGGAGGTCACAAATGGCTTTTCGTGTCTCAGGTGAAACATGGCTTCGCAACGTTTCAAACCGCTGGCATTCCCAGAACCTATGGTATCTGCTATCACTGCAGTCACAAAAGGGGCACGTGTCAACTGAAGTCTCCTGACAGTGCATCTTACCATCCTGTGTAATGTGTGTACCATTGAGAATTTTACGGAAGATTGCTTGATCTGGCATTGACAGTGAGCCCAGCCAATCTCGCGTATCCCCTGGGTCACAATTCTCCATGCCGGAAAAGCATTGGCGATGTGCAGTGGCAGCAGCAACAACTCGTATCCAGTGCATGTCAATGCGGTATTGGAGCTCTGCTAGAGAGACAGTAAACAGCGAAAAGCACCCCAACATGTCAACCAACTGACCACTTGCACTTACATGCCAGCCAAGGAATTGGAGGCGAGCACAAAGAGTCTGGGTGATACTGTTACTTGGGAAGGCGTCAGAGCCTGAAACAATTTCACACATGACTTGTTCAACACGCTCGGGATCTCCACAGTCCCTGGTGAGACGGATGGTCTGTGTAATTGCCCAACAGTGGGGATCAGTGATGGGTTTCTCAATGATTCCCAACTGTACCATAGGGTTGGCTCCAGCTGCATCGGCCCCTAATCCTCTCATGGCTGAGGAACGCAAAGCTGCGAAGTGGGTGAGGCTAATTGAGGTAGCCGCCACTCCATGCAAACAACGGGGCCAGGCCGCCACACGCAAAGCACGCACTTTGGATGCATAACCGCAAGCAGAGAGCCGCAGTTTAATCCACAATGGCTGGCGGTCATTAATCCTATCCACCAGGGTTTTGTTGGTGTGCTGCCTGGTGAATTGGACATGGGGCCCCAATTTTTTTGCATATGACACCAGGTCAAGTCCCTGGTCACGCATAGTGGATCTGCCTTCTTTACATATCGACCATGCATGAGTCTTGGTCTTGTCCAGCAGCAAATCAAGGGCCTGAGTGAAACGTTCAAGGCATTGCATCGCAGGGAGCATGGCCTCTGGAGTCATGAGGAGGATCTGCCAGTCATCTACATACGAAATGGGCTGACACAATGGGAAGAAGTGAACCATCCATGCATGGAAAACCATGTCCACTACCATCATTCCAACGCATGAGAGTGCACACCCTTCAGGGAGTCCACAATTACTCAGGGCCGGGGGACTCATGGCACCATTTATCTGGAATCTCCGCTCCATGATAGTAAGGGCACCTGCCCAAGCTCTCAGAATGGGGAACGGCAAGCCAACAATGGCACAGCATTCCAACACAACAAGCCGTGGCAAGAAATTGAATGCTTTTTGGATGTCAGCCATTACTCCGCATAAAGGAATGTCCTGTTCATATGCATGCTCAATGGCCCAAAGCAAATGCGACCAAACCTGCCCGGCGTATCGCCGGGGTCTGCTTCCATAGAGTCCCGTCGGCAGATGGGCATCAAGCTTTTTGATGGCAAATTTAGCTTGGTACGTACTCCAACAGCGGTATAGAAGGCCAAGAACCGTTATGGGTCTAAAGTCCAACGCTTTGACTGGGCACGCGGTTTTGGCAATGCAGGCAACGCGGCCTGCAACAATCTGCGGTGGCCAGTCACCATTCAATTCAGCTTGACGATAGATGGAAACGAAATTGCTGAGGGCATTGTAGGGCATAGCTTGCAGGTCTCGCAATGAGACTCCATCCAGGCCCCCTGCAGTGGTGTGCTTTTTATGTGAAACACATTGGCTTAGGGAAGTTTCCTCAATTGGCGGCCACGAAAACTGCTGCCGGGGCAGGTGGTGCCGAGCAAACGCAAGGATGGTCTCCCACCTATCAGGGGGAACCTGCGAATGGCGTTCCCACATCTGTTTCCACGTATGCAGAAAGGTGTGAAACAGATCGTCATCAGTGCCGATCTTGGAGAGCTGAGAAATCGTGCAGCCTGGTTCAAGGCCATCAACGGATTGAACCCACACACAGTCATGGTCAGCATGAATGACCGGAATGGGGTTGGTGTTACAAACCACCGGCTGATCCGGGTCAAAGTCAACTGGATGGTCAAGCACAAGGGCCATATCATCAAGCCGGACCTCCACAACCTTGGCACATTTGGGCTGCATCAAAACATGGACCCCTTTGTCAGGAAAGGCCTTGAGGTCTTGGAAAATGGCATTAGGGTTGTTTTCCCGTCTCAAGCGTGCATACAAACGAGATGATTTGCTGAGCTCAAGCTCAAACTGCCGTAGGGCAAGGCACATGGTCTCATAGATAAGCTGGCAAATGTCAAACGGCGGCGGGATCAATGGCAGACATGCAGGAGCACCATATGTACGAATGGAGGAGTGGGCCCACCATTCCGGGAAGGAGGGTGAAAACCCCGTGGCACGGACAATAGCTCCCCAAACGCTCTTGGCATGCTGAGTGTCAGGATCATGCAAGCGCACATGTCTGCAGTAAGACTGCAACCGCCTAACTTGTCGCAACCACTGGGAGTGGCGAAATGTGGCACACACAAACTGTGGTTGGAAATCACCTTTGCGGGCAAGCTTGGGGGGGGCCATTCTTCCCTCCAGGACCGCCTTGGTGGCCATAGTGCGGCCCCGGCCCTTTGCAGCAGCAGGCACCGGAAATGGCACTGCAGCAGCGGCCATGTCTTCAATGTGTTTCCACATCGCCTGGTATTTGGCCGCAGGTGGGCCCTCAGCATTATTCCAAAATTGGGCATCGACTTCCCACTCATGAGGCCACGGCAATGATGCCGGTGAACACCAAACTTGTTTAGGAACTGACTTGCTTGGCGAGTGAAAAATACCTTTCAAGACGGCATGGTCTGGGCCTATGTCATGGTACACCTCAACCTTGCAAAGTAACTGTTGCAATTCAGGCGAAATGTAGCAGAAGTCACGTCGCGTGACCTGTTTGCAAGTGGGTTGGATAGGCATACCCCAAAACTGATTGGCAATGTCTTGTATGTCACGAAAGCCCGCAGCCTCAAGTCTGCCAAAAACAGGGATATCATACTGTGAAACATTCCAGTCCCCCGAGACGAACCTTGGTCCCTTGGTGAGACAGCACACATGGTTTGTCACCTCTTGGAGAAGGTGCTCATTGTTGGCTTTCTGATTGGGGTATGAACTACTCTCGGGTTCTCCATAAACAACCCCACCAGTGACCCAGAAATCATGGACCAGAGAAGTGGTGACCAAAGCCCTTGAGGACGCACGAATTTCTGGGGGGAAGACTGTAGGAATCTCTCTAGTAGGGAACTTGGAGATCATCGCCACACCCCGCCAGGCAGCATGAAACGTTCTATCAGCTTGAGC